TATCTTTTATTGTATGTAATTTCATATGTGCCTGTATTGGTATTTTGATGAATAAAGATTATTATTATATATTGGTAATGACATTCAATTTGCTTTCAATATTCGACAAATATATCCCTAAGTAAAAAAGCGCTAATATTCCACTGCCTAATTTAACCCGATTCCAATGACGTGGCCTTACAAACATTATGTAAGCAACGACATACTCGATTCTATATACCTATATGTTCGTCATTCGTCAACATTCCTTCGATATAGACTAACGTAAATATGTCCAATCGTCACGCGCTATATCACTAATTACTATATTTTTCTAATACATATAAAATGTTTGATCAAACTGATATGTCGTGTTTAAATATGACATTAGACAATATAAAACAGACCCCTTGCGCTAATATTAACCCCAATGACCCTTGTACAAGCAGTGATTATAAAAACAACGACATATTCGATTCTATATGCGTTGGAAATGACTATCGACCTGACAAAACATATTACAATAAAGACTTTACTAAGAATTTATACACATCTCTGTACGGTATGAGCGTTAGTGAACTTAGCCTGTGGTCTATAGACGGTTCGTATTTCAAGGATAAAAGGAACCGCGCAGCAGGACACCGCGGACACGAAGGCTACAGCGCCACAGAGCCACGGAAGATCGCGCTTCAGTCTCTCACATAGTGGTTAGCTGCGCATGCGCGGCTACCCACAAAAATGGCAGGCTAAAATTTATTTTGAACTGCCAACAGGCCATATTTTTTCCTTTTTTTTTCTGATTTATTTGCCTCCAAAATACAAGACTACTACATAGAATGAAAAGAAGAAGAATCTGCAGGATAGTGCTTAGTGAAACGCAGCTATGTGTCTATCTTACCTCTACCTCTGGGCCCATTTCTTGTATAAATATTGTTGGGTGGGTAAACGTTGTGTTGGAATGGAGAGTTATTCTGGAAAGGTGAAGGCGTCCCACTGCTTGATGGTGTACTGTTTGATCTCTGAAGAGAAATACAGTCAAGATTATGTTAGGCCAAAAAAAAATGTGGGTTTCCTATTTCTTCTTGTAAAAACTTAGGTAGGGTAGGTCGGTTTTAATTTTTTTTAAACTTTTTTTAAAATTTTCCTAACAACCAGATCGACGCCATTTTGTTTAGTCAGTGCTTCCACATTCAAATATATATTTCCCTAATATTGCCTCAAATTTCCACTTTTCACAAACGTTTTACTCTAAGTGGAAACACTTACAAACATGATCCAATAAAAAAGTTTAGGGTCAGGATTTCGGCGTCCAAAAGCTAAGTAGAGCAAATACCCTGGGAACGAGGTTGAAGTAGGGTCGGGAAACCGGAAACCCACATGTTTTTTTTTTGCCTTACAGACATTGGACAGAATTTAAAAACATTAATAATTCATGAGGAAAAGACAAAGCCAAAGGAAATCACTGCTGTATGTGATAAAAAATCATAAACTTTAGCTTTGATTTTCTCGGCTTAGACAACGTTGATTTTTAAAATGGCGAAATTTTTTAAGGAAAATTTCGGTAAAAATTGAACCTGATTTTGGAAAGTGGAAGTACTAGCATTTGCGAAGCAGCGAAAACCTTTTCAATTTTTTTTTTTGAAATATTTATCGGGCAGTAATAATTGCCGCTTAGCGCCGTTAACATAGCTTGATAATGCGAATCTTGTGACATTTGCACTAATAACAGTGATGTATGTGTCACATTAATATCTTGTCAAAACTTGATTTATCTCGACGTTCAGCAGTTCAGTTTGGCTTGAAAAAAACAGGTTAAAAATACCGGTATATCGGTATTCGCAATATCGATCCACTCTAACACGCTTATGATTTTTCTTTGTGTTTTCCTCATGAATTATTAACGAGTTTTTGAAGCCATTTAAAACACTGGCAGTCCGCGCTTTATCAGACCATAGCCTATCGAAGGGGAGATGACTGTGAAACTCATTAGAATAACAATATAACTCATTATCTATGTTGGTCAACGTTTATTCATAAATCTGGTCCTTCACCGTCACGTGTGTTTGTATTTTTACCCAATAGCAATGTTTTAGGAAAGTCACCTATCCGTGACTCGAACAATAGGGGAACTGGAAATTGCTATTGGTGGATTTGACAAAAATACAATACACACGTGACGGTGAAGGACCAGATTTATGAATAAACGTTGACTAACATCATAATGAGTTATATTGTTATTCTAATGAGTTTCACAGCCATCTTCCCTTAGATAGGCTATGATCTGACATAAGACACTTGGCTGTCGCTCGTGTTTTAAATCTGATAAAGCACTCCTGCTGGTATTTTAAATTATACTTAACCATTCTAAAGTGAATGTTTTATATGTAGTTGTACTCACAGGGCTTGGCGTATTTCGTTTAACTCTCGGACGAAATTCCTGTGCATTTGGATTGAGACCAGATGTCGCCTGCTTTTCAGCTTCTGAATCAGTTTTCACTTCCTGGGACGTTTGTGCTTCTAAACAGTAAACACATACATCATCATCAAAAGTTGATGGTCATAAACTTTTATTGTATATACGCACTGAGCTCGATATATATCTGGATCGAGAACTCCAGTTCAAAAAGTGAAGCCAGCTTCGTGTTAACCGCGCAGTCGAAAGCGATAGAAAGGGACTGGAACTGACGTCCACTAGCTCCTTCAATTTCCGCCATCTTGGCAAGGAGTGTGCCGAAATTTCGTTTTTTGACATCGATTTAAAGAATACTGTAATAGTGTAATACTATGGTTTTATGAACTGATAACTCGGACTAGTGATACGTTCCGTTAGAAAAAAATGGATTTAGCTGGGGAAAATGGTCTAAAAGCTGATTTTTAGGCATGTGGGTTTCCGGTAGGTTGGTTTTAACTTTTTTTTAATTTTCCGAACAAGCGGACGCCATTTTGTTTAGTCAGTGCTTCCACATCCAAAGATAAATTTCCCTAATATTGCCTCAAATTTCAATTTTCCACAAACTTTTTCCTCTAAGTGGAAACACTTACAAGCATGATCCAATAAAAAAGTTTAGGGTCGGGATTTCGACGTCCAAAAGCTAGGTAGGGTCGGGAAACCGGAAACCCCCATATTTTTTTTTGCCTTACGACCTTCAGAGCGGTTATGGTCAGCAATGGCGTGTGTGAATGACGAAGGTTCTATGGCCAATATGACAAAAGCTGAAAAGTTAGCTTGGCCACGGTGGGAATCGAATCCGCGACCTTTGGGATACTAGTCCAATGCTCTGCCAACTGAGCTACAGTACGTGGTCAAGTCGGTTCGAGTTGATAATATTTCGGAACTAAGTCTAGTTCCTTCGATATCAGTGTTCCTTCGATATCTATGATAAGATTATTTTGTGTGTGTTGGTGTTATGTACTCAGGTGAATATGATGTTTGTGAAATATCGTCAACTCGAACCGACTTGACCACGTAGCTCAGTTGGCAGAGCATTGGGCTAGTATCCAAAAGGTCGCGGGCTCGATTCCCACCGTGGCCAAGCTAACTTTTCAGCTTGCCCGGTGTGGATATACACTCAGAGTAACATCACAAACATCATATTCACCTGAGTACATAACACCAACACACACAAAATAATGACAGAAGCATTTCAAACTAACCTTCGTTCTTCTCTTCTTTACTCGTCGCTTCAGTTGACGTCTTTTGTTCTTCCTCTGACACTTTTTTCGCTTTAGGCTTCTTCTTGGATTCTGCAAGCTAAAGTAGAAAAGATTATTGGTTTGATTTATGCTACACAAGACCACTCCAACGAACCAAGGCATGAGAAAGTCCACCAGCATGGCAGCATGCTGCCAGGAAATTTTTTAATCTCACAGCAAATTTTTAAGGAAAAGCAAGATATGAAGAATGAAGCTCGAGAAATTTCAAAAATCAGCATTAAAGTAACAAACATCACAATCAGAGCATAAATACAACAATCATAACATAAAAATTTATATCATGTGGCACTGCTACCGCTATATTTTTCTTAATATTGAGGTAGTATATGACTTATTAAGGTGGTATATACAACGCTGTTATTGAATTACAACCAAAATTCAAATTTATAAAAAAAATTGGCAGGAAATTTTTGGTCTGGGAAGCCTGCTGCCAGAAAGAAAAATATTTTATCAAGGCTTGCAACGAACTGACATTTATTTTTATTTTCCTTTGTGTTTCCACTTTACCTGGAAGTTAGCAGCGAATTCTTTTAACTCTTTCTGGATTTTGACATTGTCTTTACTTCTTGTTTTGGCTGTGGTTGCATCTGGGCTGTTGCTGGAATCCTGGGGGGTTTCTGTGGATCCTTCTGTTGTCTGAGGGGTAACAGGTGTGTTGGCTGGGGTCAGAAGGGGTTTTGCTTGATTCTGGGCAGGTTTCACATCAGCTTTCACCACGTCACTGAATGCTAAAGAAATTATTAGAGAATGAAATAAAATAAATGTTTGACATGTCTGTTTGTTCCAGGCCTCGAATTTCCCTGAAATCAATCGACGGCAATGGCGTTAAAAATTCCCGTAGAACGTAACAGCTGTCTACGGCAATTTTGGCAGTTTTCACGGCATTTTTTTTTCAAATAACTGTAATAAAAATTTAATTTTACTGTTACTTTGGATTGTTGACAAGCTAGAAAAACGTTTACGTTTTCGAAGAAAACTGAGACTAAAATAGTAATTTAGGCACGACTTGATCAACATCAGAATTCAAGTATCAAAATAGTAATGCACAATGATCCATGGCATTTTGTTCTCCCTCTACGGCAAGTGCCGCGATAAAATTCAAGCCCTGGTTTGTTCACATGAGTCTGTGTGTCTCCATGCTGACATAATAGACGTCACTATCGCTCAAATGTGTATTGTTTTCCCCAACCAACCAGTAACAGTGTGTTGGTTTAATTATCCAGTCATGATATTACAGAATGGTTAAATTACAACATAGCTATTGGTTTGCTCTAGCGAAAATACAATTAGTTTTTTTTTTCATTTTAGCAATTCACCAATGTCATCATCAATAGGCAATTCCAGCTTTTAGTTTATGCCTGCAGGGGATGATGGGAAGTAAGGTATCACATTGCTGATTATGCTGAAAATTTTCAATAAAAACTATCAAAACAACCGAAATATTTCAATATTTACAAGAATAAGCTATCACTCCGTGTTTACACGGCCACCATTATTTTTTCAGCATAATCAGCAATGTGATACATTACTTCCCATCGTCCCCTGCACGCGTAAACTAAAAGCTGGAATTGCCTATTATGTACTTGTTTTTCAGTGTAATTGTAGGAGTGAGGCAGTTAACCTTGTTTGGGACTTCGTGTCCTATTGTTACCTGCCTAGTACATTGTTATTCTGTGATATTTCCATACTAAATTTTTAAAATAAATTCAAAATTCAAATTCAATACACACGTGACGATGAATCGACCATTTTTTTGCGTAAACCAAGACAAAAACATAGATAATGAGGTGTACTATGTCTGCATCGAATTCCCTAGCCTTCTTATTCTATTGACTGTGGTTTGTCCACAAGTAGTACATCATCTTAACGATCACATGTGTGTTTGCCTTTATGCTCGTTTGTTTCTCTATTTGAAAGTAGTACATCATCTTAACGATCACATGTGTGTTTGCCTTTGTGCTTGTTTGTTTCTCTATTTGAAAGTAGTACATCATCTGAACGATTACATGTGTGTTTGTCTTTGTGCTTGTTTGTTTCTCTGTTTGAAAGTAGTACATCATATTAACGATTACATGTCTGTTTATCTTTGTGCTTGTTTGTTTCTCTATTTGAAAGTAGTACATCATCTTAACGATTACATGTCTGTTTATCTTTGTGCTTGTTGTTTCTCTATCTGAAAGTAGTACATCATCTTAACGATTACATGCCTGTTTGTCTTTGTGCTTGTTTGTTTCTCTATTTGAAAGTAGTACATCATCTTAACGATTACATGCCTGTTTGTCTTTGTGCTTGTTTGTTTCTCTATTTGAAAGTAGTACATTATCTTAACGATTACATGTCTGTTTGTCTTTGTGCTTGTTTGTTTCTCTATTTGAAAGTAGTACATGTACATCATCTTAACGATTACATGTCTGTTTGTCTTTGTGCTTGTTTGTTTCTCTATCTGAAAGTAGTACATCATCTTAACGATTACATGCCTGTTTGTCTTTGTGCTTGTTTGTTTCTCTATTTGAAAGTAGTACATCATCTTAACGATTACATGTCTATTTTTTGTGTTCAATATATAGACCACAGTAAGATATAAATATATACTATTAACATGAGACTTAGGGAAAGTTCGTTCCTAAACATTTTGAAGATTACATGTCTGTTTGCCCTTGCGCTTGTTTGTTTCTCTGTTTGAAAGTAGTACATCATCTTAACGATTACATGTCTGTTTGCTTTTGTGCTTGTTTGTTTCTCTATTTGAAAGTAGTACATCATCTTAACCCGCACTTATCACAAGTTAAAAATACCTTCTTCAACTTTCTGTTCAGGTTTACATTTTACAGGTGTTTCTGTTGCTGGCTTTTCAATTTTCTCTTTCACCTTTAAAAATTACAAAATGTTTATGAAATGGATACTAACAAAGTTTTTTCTAACAAATCATTTAACACATTTGTACCGTGGGTAGCTCATACCTGCACTGTGGGCGGCTCAACAGTTTGTTGACTTCTCGCTAACAGAAAGTAAATTATTACAAATTATTACACTTGACTTTGCGATGAACAAAAACTATCAGAACCAGTGACACCATAACTATAACGCAAAGACATTGAACTAAAGGTATAACTCCAAGGGCCTGTTCAACTACAGACTCCTGGCCCAAAATATCTACTTGTATTATAGTTAACCCATTGAGTTGCATTGTGCCCTGATGCGGCCTACTCGGGATTTTAGCCAGAAGGGCGTCCAGGCGTCCCGGGACACCCCTAGAACGAAAAATGGACGCCTTTGGATGCCCAAATTATTAATATATCTGAAACGAAATAGCTTCAATTCTCATTATTATACATTTGACATTTTGATCAATTTGATGGTGTACCTGGCAGAATGAAAATGTCATAGTTAAGTAAAGAAGCATAGCGGTACAAATTTACAAAGCCAAAAACCATGACCAGCCGACAATTTTAAAAAATAAAGTGAAAAACAAATTCCGGACATCTTGAGAATTCAATATATAATTCAAAACACAGTTTGTGACTGCAAAGCCAAGTGTGTTTGAAAAATTTCGAACAAGCTTGGAACAGATGCTGAGATGAAGTATCTACTGTACTGTAGATGTTTCGTTATACCAAAATTGGACGCCCTCTTTTAGGACCCTGGCTAAAAGCCTGGCCCTACTTTAGTATTTTACTCTGTCTAATGCCAAATGATTTACTCGTCAAGGGTAGAGTGCTGGCGCTTAATAGCCTTGATAGGTTAAGTAATTTTGAAATGGGTGAATTGCTAAAATGAAAAAACCCTAATTTCTGGACTCCCTTAAGAGAGGGACCATAAGAAAAATCAGGAAAAAACCTGAGGTGTTTAGTAGAGTCAAACTAGAAGCATTCTTCTCACATGTGACTGAGATGAAATTATAATGAGACAACTGCATACTGCAGGAATCGAAGCTCAGTCACCGAAGTGAAAGGTACATGCACTAATCACTGCATCAGCTGTCAGCAACATTCTTCGACTCTTTCTGTTATATTTACCCAGCACTGATACAACCAGGGGTGGAAAAATAGGCGAGCACTGCTCGCAGGTAATGTTAAACAGCTGCAGGAAATTCGTTTGAAGGAAGATTTGCTATTGAAAATTTGAAGGAAACCATAAGACCCATGTCCCACTATGGGCGCAACAACATATGGTTGACATTCTTCCTTGAATTTAAAACCACTATCAGCTAGAACATTATATGTGGCAATTGATACACCAGGCGGAAATCTTAGTTTAAAGATAAAGAGCAGAGCCCAGCAAATACTTTAAAACCAAACATAATAAAAGTAAAAATTTAATTAGCTAACGTTTCGTTGTTTACAATACAACATCTTCAGAGCAATCTAAATGAATTTACAGGGTATGGTATATATATTTACAAAATACATACCCTGTAAATTCATTTAGATTGCTCTGAAGATGTTGTATTGTAAACAACGAAACGTTAGCTAATTAAATTTTTACTTTTATTAAGAACATTATATGGTTATGAAATTTTTGTCTCCAGGTTGTGCTCCCAGGAAGAAAATTCTTTTCTCCTGCCCTGTATACAACCTACCTTGTTCTTTTTTAACAGATGTAGGTGACCCAAAACCTTCTTGTGGCAACCTAGCCGTTCGCTGTTCTCTTTCAGGTGGCCGGTCACGATGAGGCTGTCTCCAATTTGTTGATGTTCTGTCAAAAGTTTTGCTGCGTACAACAGAGCTGTACAGCTGTTCTTCTGATCGACCACTGTCTATGTTGCGTTCATGTGGGCTTTCCTAGAATAAAAGGACAGTTCTCAACAGGTGGGTTACACTAAGAACGAAGGGCCTTCGCTCGAAGTATTTTTTTGTAGGCCTTAGCAGTTAACATGCAGTTATAAGAGCGAGAACATGTTACTTCTTAAATAGACCTTTCCCCTTATGAGTGAACTTTTGATCTAGATATGCCTGGACAACAATTTCATCACAGCTTGAAAGAGCATCACAAAATTAGTAATATTCCGAAGTTTCGTTGCGAAATGTTGTAAAGTGCGTATAATATAGCCTTGCGAAGTTTGCCGTTTTTCAGTCATTTTGCATTACAAACGGGAAATTGATAATCAGTTTGATCATCTGATGTTTGATCCATGCAAATAGCTTGCACGCAAGAAACGTTTGGAATTTTTACGAACACTATTTTTAGTTTTTAATTCTTTTAGGAAATAGACTTGCCTAGATTTAATCTTCACTCCCCAAATATTATTTATATCAGAGTTACATCATAAATTGTACTCGGATTCAAACAACACAATGTCAATGACTTTATAAAAGTAAAAGCATATTGTGTATTGGCCTATTGGGTTTACACTTTTACAGGTTCATTTAACTTAAAGTCTTTAACAGATTAACTCTCTCAAGTCTCAACAAACAATCGGACATGCCAAAACCATTGATATGAGAAATTGACAAGTTCAAAAAACTTTTTTTGAAGCTAGAAATCATGATTTTTGTCAAATTTTTCCTGGGACACTTTGTTTTCTGCTCTCTAAACTCCCCCTCGTGGCTCTAGTGCTCCACCCCTAGAATATAGACCTTACTGGGGTTTGGTGACACTTTGTGTTGCTTCAGTCACCTGCTCACGGCTTTGTTTAAATACTTTATTGGGTAAATATAATAATTATTTACAAAAGACGTACTAATACTACGCATGCGAAGAACAAATATTACCCAAATGGAAGAGGTGCGAACGGAACGTAAATAATTTGCGCTATCCATGCAAGGCACCTTTCCAACAGAATACATGTAAATATAGTTTACTATGTAAATACTAATAACAAGTTTATACAACAAGACAATTAACTCCTATGACAGGAACAGTCACGTGACATAGACCAAGTACATAACAAGTTTACATCGAATACGGTCGATACTAACATAGAATAATAATTAAAGAGGTAGTATTTAAATGTTTTGACACTAGAAAATGTATTTGGTGGAGCTACTTTACAAACACTGTTCCATAATTTCACGATGCGGTTGAAATATGAGTTCTGATATGTTGTGGTTTTACACAATGGAGTCTTGAGCAACAGGTTGGGATTACGACATAGACGGGAGTGATTATGGGTTACAAACGAGACATAGTCATGAACATTGAGATCGGAAATACCATAAAGAGCCTTGTAGAAGAACATTAGATCTTTTATCTCTCTATCATAACACAAAGGTAGTAAGTTCAGATCAACGAGACGCTCATTGTAGCTGGAGTCACCCTTTCTAGCTTTCAATATCCATCTAGTGGCTCGTCTCTGCACACGCTCTATCTTTGTCTTCTGTGAGCAGATGTATGGGGACCAAACTTCACAGGCATAACATAGATTGGATTTTACCAACGAAAGGTACAAAGTACGTCGGACGCTGACGTCAGTCAGGAAAGGGCATGTTCTCTTCAATAGACCGAGCAGCTTGTTGGCTTTAGCTGTGATCTCATGGATATGAGAATCCCATGAAAGCTTTCCAGTCATTGTAACCCCAAGATCTTTCTCTTTTTCAACATGAGTAAGAGTGGTTGAGCCCAGTCGGTATGTGAAGTCCACAGGTTGTTTCTTTCGCGACACAGTCAACACTTTACATTTTAACTCGTTGAACCTCATATTGTTGGTATTGCTCCAGGTGGCTAGGTTTGTCAGGGTTTGTTGTAATTGGCGAGCATCATCTTCGCAAGTAATTTTCCTGAATGTTTTTGTGTCGTCAGCGTACAAAGCAGTTTCTGATTTTTCGGGAATGATGTCGGGTAAATCATTGATGAATAATACAAACAACATTGGACCAAGTATGCTACCTTGTGGTACACCAGATGTTACTGAGGACCAACCTGAAGCAACACCATCAACGACAACTCTTTGGGTCCGACCAGTTAAGTAGTTAGTGAACCAATTTAGCATGTTTGAATGTACACCGAATTGCCTGAGTTTTGCCAAGATTAAACCGTGATCGACAGAGTCAAAAGCTTTGGCAAAATCCAAGTAGACAATGTCTGTTTGAATATTACTGTCACGGTTTTCTCCAATCTTATGTAAAACTTGCAGCAGTTGTGTAGTGCATAATTGATTGCGTAGGAAACCGTGTTGTCCTAAGGAGATAGCGCTAATTACATGTTCGTATAGTCGCCTACATACGCAACGTTCCAATAGTTTTGCAATGATAGGCAAAAGGGATATCGGTCGGTAGTTCTCCGCTGGTTCTTTCAGATGTTTCTTGTGAACTGGTGTCACGTTCGCTGATTTCCACTCTACCGGAAGTCGTCCAACACGCAAGGATACGTTAAATAACTCACAGATACTAGGCGCAATGTGCCGACCGCATTCTTTTAGTAGACGTGCTGGTATCTTGTCAGGGCCACTCGCTTTGGTGATGTCTAAATTTCTGAGGTAATTTTCCACTTCAGCCACATCAACTGTTAATTCACCCAATCCCGACTCAGTTTCAGACGCCTCACCATCACAATCCCCGATGTCAGTACTGGATGTTGTAAATACTGAGGAGAAGTAAGAATTCAGAAGCTCGGCTTTTTCTGCAGAAGACTTTGCTCTAATACCGTTGAAGACAATGTCAGAAGTCTGTTTTGATCTGCTATGCAAAATTGCTTTGTGGTAAGTCCAGAAAAGTTTTGGATTAGTTGCAAATGATGTTTCGATTTTCCTTAGATATTCCCTATGCTTCTTTTTAACTAGCGACTTGACGGCGTCACTTAAGCCTCTTAGCTTTTGTTTTCTCGTTTCACACTTGTTTTGGCGGTATCTTTTTAATGCTGAGTATTTCTTTCGAATGAGATGACGGACTTCTTTATCTACCCAAGGAAGAGAGTTGGTATCCTTTATTGTTTTAGTTGGGATGTGGTTATCTACTGCGTCAAGAAACGACTTTTTCCAGCAAGACCAAAGTTTATCGATATCGTTGGTAGTGTTAACATCAAATGTTATCCGACTTAGCGTATTATTGAGACCTTCAAAATCAGCTTCCTTGAAGTTGTAAATTTGACGCGCTGCCGACTTGGTTCGTTGAAAGTTCAGTCTGATACTAAAGTCAATAATTTGGTGATCTGTTGGGAAATAACATTCCTCAGGACTTCTGATATTGACCTCATCAATGACTTCTGGACAATTACATAAAAGTAGATCGAGTGTGTTCCCAGCTTTATGTGTAGGACTTTCTATAAATTGGGTTAGGAAGTTGTCCCCAACAAGGTCGCAAAAGACATCACCAATCGCTCGTTCTCCTTTGTTAATTGGAGCTGTGCTGTCAGTAGACCAATCTATCGCTGGGAGATTAAAATCACCAACTACAACACAACAACTGGACTCACTGGTGTTTTGGAGGGATGTGTTAAGATGTTGAAGGGGTTCCGTTGTTGAGTCAGGAGGACGATAGAAGGTATATAGTAAGACTGACTTTTTGTTGGGTTTAATCAATTCTATCACCACAAATTCAGCATCCTGCTTCTCGAGATCTAAGCGGCGAGTTGCTCTTATGTTCAACTTTGTAGCAACGAGAATACCACCTCCGACTCGTCCAACTCTGTCTTTTCGAAAGATGCAGTAGTCCTGCAAAAGTTCACTGTCCAATACGGTATTATTTAGCCAAGTTTCACACACACAAACCACATCATATATACCAGATTGTACCAGTTGTTGAAAACCCCTGGCTCACCCCCCTAAAATTTCTGGCACCACCCCAGTAATAAATATGAAAATCCGTCTATGTCTGTAACGGTCACTGAAATGCAGCATGTTTGAGGTGGCTTATCTCAAACACAATGGGACAATACAGTATGATTCACATTTACCTTGAAAATTTCTTCAGCTTTCTGGGCAGCATACCTCTCTCTTTCTCGGTATTCAGGTGTGTCATTTTTATCAAGCTTAGTCCTGTTAAGATTATACATATATACTTTCAAATAATAATAATAGTAAGGCAAGGAATGAACAGGAAAGCTTGAAATAAAGTCCAAAAATTGTCCAGTAAAGTTCATCCAGAATTTGGTCAGACATTTTTTCAATTTCATTTTGATTCTTAGAGTCTGTTAAGTTAAATTGCATAAGTATAAAATACTTTATGTCAAACACACTATACATTAATAGTAAAATTCTTTAATAATTTAAATTTGACATCTGTGTATTCTTTGATGAATGACACAGTCTTCGAGTTAACCCAAGCTTTCAAGAAAATAGATTGGAATTTGGAGTTTGGCTGGAAAACGTCCAATGTGCAACAAATACTTACGTGTATTCTTCCATTCCTTCACTATATGTAGACTTGACTCCATACTGGAACAAAGAATGGCAATGTTAAAAGATAGATAAACCTACAAATCTTAACAGTATAATTAATTACCATTTTTTCATTTTTTTCGAACATCTTCTCAGGAGTCCATCCGTTCTCCTAATATTAAATGAAGGCGACAACATCAATGATATGTTAAGAGTTGACATAGAATATTAGGGAGGTAAGTAATAGGCAGTTGCGATATTGAAAAAAATCGATATATCGATATCAAAAAAATATCGATAATATCGATTATACCGAATTATGCAAATGAAAAACGTAATTTAGTCAACTTGCATCTATACGCATCACAAACAGTTAAAAAGAAGTGCATGAAACCAGTCATGGTACGTCTCACACATTTATTAACAACGGTTTATACGTCATCTCCATTGGTGATTTTCTGTGGTCACAGTTTCTCTGTCTTCGCTTTTAATTTCAATTGCCCACGCACTTGTATCATAAATCCACAATTGCCGCCATACACACATTGTCTAAACTTCACCAATGAAAACAATAATTGCCGAAGAATCGGAGATTAAGTTGTTTAGTTACAACTTTCAATATTTTCGATATGCGAAAAATCGAATATCGATATTTTTGAAATATCGACAGATATTTTTTATTTCCCGGAAAAATATCGATATATCGCAACTGCCTAGTAAGCAAGCAACGCTATTTAAAAAGCTGTGTTTGTCATCAGGGTCTTAGCTAGGATTTTAGATCTTGGGCGTGTTTCTAAATGACCAGGGTGTGCAAATAAATTCACGGTTCTACAACAACAGACAATGCCTGTGGTTGTTTCTATGCTTTGCAACCAAATACAAGGCGAGCATATACTCATATTGCATTAAGTTATTTCAGCAATTCTTGGGGGTATTTAAAACCACTTTAACACCATACGGTTCCCATTATCCATCAAAACATTAAAACATCACTTTTGCCAATTTCAAAATCAACAGTAGATTTTACAAACTTTCTTATGACGTAAATAGAAAGAAATTCTATCTGTTGTAAGTAGCACCATCTTATTTTATGAACCTACACAGCCTTATATAAATAATGAAGCCGCGTTCATTTTATATAGCCGTGTTTTTCCATTTTTGGCCGCGATAACATGGCCAACACGGCCCTCTAGCTAATACCCTGCGACAAAGTCTCAGCTTGTGGTAATCTTCAACAAATTTGACAAAACATAAGATTTTAAATTTTTTTTGCTTCCTCGCACAAGCGCTATGATCCAAAATGCCGCAAAATTAGTTGTATCAATTTCCGGGTGACGTCTGTGTTGACAAAAACATTGCTTCCTTAAGGTGGCTCCCTACAGTTGTGATTGTATAGCACATAATTGGATTCAAAAAAACATTATTTTCTCATCTTGCCAAGTATGATCACGAAACTCGGCCACATAACTGCTACAAATATATCGCAAATTACGAAAAATAAAAAATGTCGTTAAAAATCCCCGTTGCCATGGTAACAAAGCTATTTTAAAAAGGGCCAATTTGCAGATTCTTTGATAATTTTTTGAAATTTTCTTCGGTAAAACTTTTTAACTTTTTGCACACAGTAATGTTATCTATAATTCCTTCAAATAGCATTTAAAAAAAACCGTACAAGAATTTTTTTTAATCCTCAAAAAGCCCTGTTTTTAGAATAAAAAAAATTCGGCTCGTACGATTTTCTTAGAACTTGCACATTTTATGCATTTCAAGATTACAGGAAAGTGTGTGAAGTTTTAAAAAAATTTACCGAAGGAAACACGAGAAAAATACATTTATTTTTATCTATGTGACGTCACAAAAATCAGGATTTCAATTTCCTCGCGTGACCAGCCGACAATCACATGAAGGCACACGCGTGTATATCACGACGCAATTTTAAAAAACCTGCCGTGTGTGCAACGTCGACCATGTGTGTTGCATGTAGCACTACCAATCTTGCGCGTAGACAAAATTTCCGCGACACAGACCTAAAACTGTAGGAAGCCACCTTAAGCTCACTAATAACTGTGGTAAAGCAAATATCAGAAGAATAACATTGTACCATGCTGTGATGTCCCTCTAAAGCAGCAGTTTCCAGTGAATCAGTGCCATCACCCGGCTCCCATTTCTAGAAAATAATGCTATTGTTAGACTTACACAATTTATAGTTTCTTATAGTATAACAACTTCTCACTGGCTGATGAGGGATGCTGTACATGCAAGCGTAAACCTGAACTTTAATGAACTAAAAAGATCTTGTATTTACAATAAATGGATCGGCACAAATTACTGCATCTCAGTCATTAAACTACAGTAAGTATCACATGTTAGACTAAACCCAATTATAGTTGGCACTACTGCAACTACTGTACATAGTAGCTTACTAGGCACTTCCTGCCAGTAGTGTGGGTGGGACACAGGTCAGGCTAACACAAGGGAAGCAAAACAAGTGACTCTGACCAGGGCTCGAAACTTGAAATTTTTGTCAGTATCCAAGTGGATACCAGCATCATAGAATCTAGTATCCATCCTTGAAATATAGTATCCCAGATTTGGATACTAGATATTCTATTTCCAGTATCTAAGCAAGGCAAAATTTTACCTTGCAACCAGGCCTTCAGTTGCTGAACAAAAACCAGGCCTTTAGTTTCAATAATAAAAATATGTATTGAAATTCGAAAAAATTGAAAATAACACACTGCGGCGATACGAAAGAAAGCACCGTTTGTGAAATGTTTTTTTTTTTAAATATTCTGCCAAAATCCGTAGACATTGAGGTTCGGAAACATGCCCAACGTCTAGATGATTATCTACTATCGCAATTTCTAAGTTTTCCTAGTATCCAGTTGGGATACTGAGCTTATGATATCCAGTATCCAAAATTAAAATCTGATGTCCTGTGGATATCGGGATACTGCAAGTTTTGAGCCCTGCTCTGACCCCACCCTCCCAGCAGTGTATGAGAAAAACACTTTCTCAGGCCTTGCCCTTTTAGAAGAAAATCGCACGGGAATGGTTAATCGCACATGCAAAATATGTTTAGCGAGCTACTGTGAATCTAGAAATGAACAATTTGCAAATAATCTTGTTGATTTACAAATTAAAACAATAAACTGCTTTCAAAAAAATAGGCACTCGAGGAGTGCATAAGGATTTGCAATTTTGTTGTCAATTTTATAATGCAAGAAAGATGGAAAAATATCGCCCAAAATGTAATATAACAAATTACAGATCAGCTAATAACAAATTAAATATTATTACACCAAAATGTAAAAATAATTCTGGCCTTAGAACTTTCCACTCGAGTGCATGTCGTCAGCGGAACAAGACAGACTTGTCAATTAAGAGCATTGCCCTCTTATGCAAATTTTAGAAAAGTAATACACTCTAGCTTTCAGGAACAATATTGTTCAATTGAACACTTCCGCATGGAAAAGACTTATTAGAAAATTTAGTATTTGTACAAATTTGGTAGATTTATTTTATTGCATAGCTTAGTGAGGGCCATCATGAAAACTACTGGGTAACCAGTAATGGTGTTTTTTACCCTCGGTAAATAAAGTATTTTGACTTTGACTTTGACAACATCACGACAAATATTTTCTTTGAATGTCAACTTTTGTTTAATTAATAATTGTTATATTTAAAATTAATCTACTACAACTCTTAAATGGTTTTATTATTGCCTGAAATATAAAAGAAAAACTCAATTTGTACGACCTTTTCCATTTGTATTCCAAGCACAAAACAGTCATATATTCCTTCGTTTAGCTCAGAGTAAGTGGTACAATGTTTAGTCACAACCCTCGAAATTCAACTATTTTTGCCTCGGCAAATAATTGCCGAAGTATTTCGATAATTTTCGAGTTTACCTCGGCAATTTTTTTTGGCGAGGCACGCAAAGAAATCACCTTAAATTCCTTCGGCAATTACTTCGGCACTCTCCGGCATTCACGTCGGCAGTTGTAATTAAAGTATGGAAATTATTGCAAACAAATATATCGTAGATTCTGACGTTTGACAAGTTGTTGTTATTTTACAAATTCCTGATTCAAAATGTTTTTAAAAAGTTAGTGGTAATTGACAACAAATAGTATGAAAGAATAAACTTGATGGTAATCACGCGACAGTCTAAAAGATAAAACAAAGTTTCTCCACGTGCCGTCTTTAAACCATCAAGATTGTTCTTTATTTCAGCCGAGGCCGACGCTGGAAAGCTCAAATTTAAATATTTTGTAGCCTAATTAAAGTAGCTATGAATGAAATCTTCTGTTGTTCACCCAACGTTGATGACAACAATTCGAACAAAGAAGTGATTAAAAAAACGAACACTGTAGTTTGTAAATTTAAATTTAAGCAAAAAAAACGAACGAACAGACGCCGTAGTTTGTAATTTATATAAGGTACAACGGGTAGAATTGCCTCAGCATTTTTTTGCCGAGGCAAACTATGAAAAATCGTAACTTGTCTCGGCATTTGCGTCGGCAATTGCTGTGTGCCGAGGCGAATTTCGAGGGTTTAGTCATTGGTACATTCTATGAAAATGAGCAGGTTTTTTGCCCGAAAGATTGTGAATAACTTAACAAATTAGCTCCATTCTGGAAGAAATATTTAGTTTGTGCGCGCGATGAATCGCTCGCTTAAGCAATCTTGGGCATGCACACACACGACCGCGCACCCCTTGGAGCAAGGCCTGCTTTCTGCCTCGTTCGTTCCTCAGCGGGCAGAAATAACACTTACTTCAAGCTCTTTTTTTGTTTGCCCATTCATTCTTTTATTACCACCAATGGCAAAGTCTGTTTTGAATGAATCTAAAGAAAGAAAACACAAAATACCGTAAACCTCCAACTATAAGCCCTGGGCTTATATACTTTCGTAAGCGATTTTTGATGGGTTTATACAAGGGGGGGGGTATACAAGGGGGCTAATATACTGGGGCTAAGTATATGGGTGGGTAAATATATGGGGGGCTAATACATGGACGATATTTTGTGTTAGTAATAAACAAGGAAAATAAACATGTTTTAATAATGCACTTTGATTAACATAGTAAGTTACATGTATAAAGACAATGACAATGTTTTTAAATATCATTCTCTGCTATATTAAAAGACAATGTCAATGTTGAATAACGTAGTGGGCCATTGGGCCTATATTCGGGGGACTTATATATTCGGGGGGCTTATATTCGGGGCTTATATTTGGAATGAGGTGAGCGTTAGTATATGTGGTGGGCTTATATTTGGGGGGTTTATATTCGGAGGAGCTTATATTCGGGAGGCTTATAGTCGGAGGTTTACGGTATGGTGACAGTTCAGCATCAACAGTGGTCGGTACATAAATTCTACGGTACATAAATTCTACGGTAAATAAATTCTACCTTTTTTGCCACCAGTAAAATAACATTCTTCCACATTCACATCCTTGAACTCAACTCTGACCCAGTCTTTACGATTCATGACAAACTGTTCAATGATATCTATATTCTGCAACCCACCATCCTAACAGACAATAAATATTGCATAACCACAACAAAATGACCACAGTATAATTAAAACATGGGCTTCTAGTATTTGAACAAGGCTTCTAAGGACTTCTTAAGTGTGATTATCACCTTTCAGATATGGTAGCCACTCAAGCACGAAAAATATGTCAAGTGAATAAAACTTACAACAACTCCATTCTGTTTTTGTTCTTCAACTTGGTTGGCTTTTCCAAGAACTAAACTTGCCTGTTTTCCAATAGGAATTATGCATCAGTAGTTGTTTCAAAGCTGTTCGTACAGACAAAATGAAAGCAGGGCACTTTACTTCAAAATTACAGTTATTCGATGGTCTTACCTCTGGAGACATAGTTTTAAAGACACCTTCAAACTGTTTTCCACTCTTCTCGGACACTTTGGCATTACATCCCTATATTCAAAATTTAATTTATTACAGGTTTGAAACTAGAATAGTTTTCTGCTATTCATTGTGGACAGCAGAATATTTCCTAATTAATTCATTAAGCCTGCATTAACTTTATTATCAGAGGTGGAAAAATAGTTGAAAACACCACTCACAGGGGTAAAAATTACTTTAACCCTTTAAGTGACAATGCACCCTACTTTATTATTTCTGTCTAACGCCTGACAAATTTACTCGTCAAGGGGAGAGTGCTGCCACTCAATGGGTTAACAGATACTTTTAAGATTTGAAAGAAACCCTAACACAACGTTCAACAATCAGCCGGACAACTTATGTCTTGCACTGAATTTTTAAACCATGGTCAATTAGAACACTACGTTTAGCCACATATTTAGTTTGTCCAGGCAGATCATCTATCTTTTAGTATAGATTTAGCCAGTTTTGTCATATTATTGGGCAATGTTGACAGAACTCGAATATCAACAAATATTTAGAGCCAAATTTATATCATTGCTTACCAAAACTGAAGCCACTGCATTGACAAGCCTGTCATTTGAATACAACCCTTCTAGGTTCTAGATTTCAAAGCAAATATTTTTAGAAAAATAAGGGGGTAACAATTTCAAGAATGGCAAAATCTAAACGCAGGAAACAAGGGGGATTGTCTCCAGCAGTTCGTTTAAGAAAGCTAATTTGTTGCTAAAATCGTCCAAAAACAGCGAAATTCTCACAAACCTGGCTCGGCTGAGATCCTGCGTTAGAAGACGGTTTAATTCTCCCTCTAGAAAGCAAAATCAAACTTCAGGAAATCATTTGTAGCCCATTTAAACGACGCACGTGGACCTAACTTTGTCAGAAGGTTCATTTTATTCCATGTTATGAAATCTAAATTGTAGCTCTAAATGCTGTCATTTTTTATACCCCTCAGGACTTTGATTTGGGAAATATGATAAAGACGTTGTCGAGATAGACAGGTTGTGTTTAGAACTGTCTAAAACTCGAGAAAAGTGACGAAACTATGCTATGACAGGTTAATATACAAATCAAAAACAACATAATAGAATTAAACATATACGAAAATAAACATTACAAATACGACATATTTCTGAGTTAGGAGACGGTTTAAAACATTTAAAGTACAAGATATCTTTCCTTACCTGCCAGGGCCTCCCCGACCAGCCATTCCCCGCTTCATTCTTGGGCTAGCCGAGTTAGAACTCATTGATAAACTCTTGCTTCGTCTTTGTCCTTCGATGACCGGCCATTAAGCTCTTTTCTCGGCCATATTTTCGCCCTTTCTTTAAAAAAAACTACGCACCCAAAATAACTTACTAATCAATCTATAAATAAAGTCACTAACAGAACAGTTTCATTGACTTTTAACAAAATAAACATAAAAATAACTTGAAATTTCGATGTTTTGCCGTGTGTCGTTCTTTTCGAGCGACTGTCGGCAAGTTCTGTCAGGAAACACGCGTGTTATAGAAAACACGTTGGGAGAATTTAGACAATACGCAATATCTACTAACACACACGAAGCTGATCAATTTCTATATTCTCTTAATAACATACCTGCCCCAGGCTCCGCGCTGATACTTTCGTGACATTGACTCGTGACCTTTTACTGTAAATCACGGAAATATTGAAATTTCTATAAAATTAATTTTTTATTTAATTATTTAATATGAGAAATGAAGAGAACTAGTTATTCAAGAATGCAGGTGTAAAATTATTTTCTCACTCTGATAACTGTGTGTTGACCTCCAGTGTCACGCATTTACATACCATGGCATACCGCTTGTTACACTTACATTGTTACACGTTGCAAATTTGATGCACGTCTCGCCATTGTGTCCGGTACGTGATGATATTGCTTGCCAATATTGGGTGCTACTTTTGGCAACAATTGAAACTTGACCTTATGACGAAATTGATTTTTAATATAAAGAAAATACGTCGAGGGGGGGGGGGGTGTAGGTAGTTAAACCCCTCCACCGTAAGGTTAGTTACGTATTAAATATTCATACTCCCCCGTTAAGGCTGGTTCCTGTGTTCACTGTAGGGATGTTACATAGGTAAATTCTAAGTCTTCTAATATACTGAGCCTGTTTTCTCGAACATTTCTTACAAACCCTTCAAAATGTAGAATTTACCTATAATCTATATGTACAATTCCCACTGTGATCACGGAAACTTTTATGATAGTGTAAACCAGGTTTTACGCGGCGCGTCTTCACTGGCGAGGACAGTTGTGGGTGATTAAAGTATTGAATCGCAGGGCCGTTTGGTGTTGCATTTTCGGCAACCGTCCCTGGTTAGGTATAAAACTATACCTGGTTAGGTGTTTATCAATCTACTCCACAATATTCCATTTATTATTATTGTTATTATTTAAGCTTATTTTGACACATGAATAATACACATAGACTATTACATTTGAGAAACATATGGACAACATAAAACAACAGGTGCCAAAAGAGACGAAGCACAACGAGACCATGTCCCATGCAGGCTGCTCACCACTAAATATTACAGAACAGACAAAATTACAAAAATATATGAAATAGAAAAGAGAAACGGAAGGTTAGAAGCACAGTGGATGAAAAGAGAGAAGAGGTAGAAAGAGATACATGGAGGAGTGGAAGATGTCAGTTGGTCGTGATCAAAGAGTGCGAGCAAGGTTCGTCAGGAGTGTAAGCAGTAGCTGTGAAGTGAAGATAAGTCTTGTGTAGGTATGTTTTAAAGTTGGAAAGAGTGTCGTAGCAGTTGGGAGGAGCAGATTTACATACATAGTTCCACAGTTTTACAATTCTAACAAAGTACGAGTTTTGGAATGTGCTTGTTCTACATAATGCGGTTCGTAAAAGGCAAGAGGTGCTAAATATTTGGTGCTTTTTTTGCTAAATTTAAAATATAAAATTATGTCCTTCTTCTCTCGGTCGTATTCCAGTGGGATAAGATCTCAACCAAGTGACGTTTCTGCATGTCACTTCTTCATCAAAACGCAGGATCTCAGAAACCCTGGATTGTAACATTTTCCTGGAAGTACCGCCAGAAGCCACCTAGTGACCTAGAGTCTGTTTAGACCAAAACAAACCAATCTTCTACCATCTATGACGTTTCTAGCGGACGTGCCCTTCTCCTGGAAGTGAGTTTTTCAGCATTTTACTGTGAAATGGTAACGGGCTTGTTTAATCGAATGTTGAGATCCGGATTTACGAAACGCAAGTTCGAATCCCACTCTTCCGGTCCCCTTTAGCACTATCGCGCAGCAGATGCTGGTCAACCTGCAGTTATCAGAGGAAATAATGTTAAAGACCATATCAAGTCCGTAATGTAAAAAACTCCTTTGTTTACATTTTGAACTGCTATAGTTGTAAAATAAGACATACTAACTGAATCATCTAACACTTTTCTGGTTCACAATTGTAAATGAATATAAACTAAAGTACGATGCAAAATTTGGGCAATGTTTATTCTGTGGGTCCCCCTTTGTTATGAGTAGATTCAGTAGAACTGATGCGCAGAACGGACTTGACATGTCTTTAATTCTCATCATTATATAAAGTAATATAAAGTATTCTTCTTTTTCGAGGTAAATAAAGAGATGTTCAGATACAGTTTAATTATTTTTTTTGCTCCTAGACGTGTCAATATTCCTGGAGACATGAGCTGACCATGGATTGCTGATGACTTACTTCCTTTGCCAATAAATCCGGCCACTCAAACGAGTTTCACAACATTTTGTAGTACACTAATCAGATTTCCGTTTGCTATAAGGTTCATCAATTGCCCTTAATTGGCAATGAAGATTGACAAACACCTCTTAATGTTCACATGGAAGACGAAGCACGCTTACGCATCGAAACAGTTTGCACTGAAGACAATCTGGGCTTAGTACAGATCGAAAGTCGTCTGCGGAGGCTTAGCCGGGGCAAGATGGGACAGGCAGGCCGGGTTAGCAGAGTGGGCGTGGGCGGCTAAACGAATAATTTAACTTTGGTCGGAGTGGTGAAACAATATCAATTTCTATCTCTATGGTGTTTTTTTTTAATCCATATCTTTCACAAGATGTTGTTTTCAATTTGTATTTTGTTTCAACAAAACAAAACAATTATCATTCTAGCATTAAAACACGTCTTCAGTAAAGCTTCAAATCTAAAGTCTATAAACAGTTGTATTTATACGGTAAACGATCGCAAACGCCAAACTGTCCTTGACTCTATCTCTAACATACATACCTTTTTTCCACATTAATGTTTTTCTTGTTAAGTTGGTTGTACATGTCTCAGTTCAGATATCGACATCGTCTCCAAATTGTTTGGTCTTGCGGCCATTTGGAGATGATCTGAACTGAAGATATATATCATGTATATATATATACGACCTGACGACCAACTCGACAAGAAAACATTAATTTGGAAAGAAGGTACGTTTGTCAAAGATAGAATCAAGCCCAGTTTGCGATTCCCACCGTGGTCAGGCTGACTTTTCAGCTTGCCCGGTGTGGGTATACACTCAGAGTAACATCAAAAACATCAGTTATAACTGTTTAGATTCTGAAGAATCTACTGAGTAACCGAATCCCTCATATAAAACTAAAGCTAGCAGGGGCCGGTTGTATCAAGCCCGTTTAGCTTAAACAGTGGATAAGTCAAAATTACAAACACTCTTTTCTCTTTCGTGAATCAGTCAACTTAAATATTCTGCACTTAATATGTAGTTGTAAACATTATCGTTCTATTAAAGTTCAAAACTTTTAGTTTAGTTGTTGAATGAATCTATAGACTTGCTTTCTATTTTGAGCTTAACCACTGTTTAAGCTAAACGGGCTTGATACAACCGGACCCAGATGAAAAAGCTTAGCCTGAAACTCAGTTGCAATGACAATGTGGATGTAATCTACTAATCTGTAGACACTCATTTTTATCAGAACCAATTTAGCCTGAAATTTGGGGAAGGTTTTAATAATATAAATTAATTCTTTTAATTCTTTTTGACTCTATAGGATAATGTGGTATACTTTTTTCCTGATTTTCTAAAGTACAGACATTAGAGGAATGAAATACAACTTAATATTCTGATCAAATAGTGGGATTTTACCGTGTATACAAATTAAACATATATAGTAATAACTAATACGTGGTTTTGCATTTGGAGGCAGATAAATAGAATTGGAAGAAAGATGTAGTTTAATTTTCTAGCTTCTCTAACTGTCTTCTGAAGCTGACTATTTGCTGTTTTTTAACGTTGCGACTGCTAATTTAATACTGCGTTACAATTCACTGCTTACAACACAGAATATGACTAGCATTTCAGGCGAACAGTTCGTTGAAGAAAGAACATTGGTCGTTGCCCACTTCAATGCTTGTAACGAACGTTTAGTTCCGTCAGTGCGGGAATGAAGATGTTTCAGAAAGAATAGATGCATGATTTATATCTGCATCTGTTTATGCTGACATCTAAATGACAGTGTTTGTAATTTTTACTCGGCCGTCAGCCAATCACCATAGTTATATGTACAAACCAATGATGCTATGAGCTTTGGTCTGTGATCTCAGTAATTAGACTCGAGTAACTTTCGATCCATAACGGATTTTCGTCAGTTGATATATATTTTTTGTCATGATTCTTGAAGTTTCTAGCTTGTGCGACTCGAAACTTTAAGAAAATTTAATCCTAATGATTAATAAAAGAGAGTAAAAAGCAACCGGCGTCTTCTCTACATACACAAAGACACTTTATATCAATTCAAATTTAATCGAGAAATTTGAATATAAACTACATTCCAGTGCCCGTATTGGCAGTTCCGCTTCCGTAGCTAGTGGTGAAGTTGACCCTAATCAGTGGAAATGTCTTAAGTACTGGTAAAAACGTCATAACGTTTCCTTTAAGTTCCGCCTTCAAAGATCTGAAGCGCTTTTTAATGAATTTTGAAGGATTTCTTCGAAATTATCTGCGTTTTAACTCACGTATATTTTGTTTTAAATTCTGTTACTACAGGACGTGAAAAAAATTGTCGAGCAAGCAAAAATAAGCAATCAAGCAAAAGTAGTGACCTAATCGCTAACGGCATTGACTGGGGGTATAAATGGAGTCCCACAGCAGGAATTATCTGCACGAGACAAAAAGGAAAATGCGATTAAGGGATTGCCCCAGATTTATTTTTAACTAGTGGCACCAGCGGTACGACTCGCGCATGTGCCCGAGAAAGGGTATATAAGATGCAGTCCCAAGAAAAGAATTCATAAATCAAATATCAAAGGTTGAAATAAGAAGTACTAAGAAATTAAAATGTAAGTTACTAAAGTTTCTGTGATTTGTAGCTTAGTGACATCTTCGAATCCCACCGTGGCCAAGCATATTTTTCAAGCCTTCCCGGTGTGGATATACACTCAGAGTAACATCACACAAGCATCTTCCAGTTCTTCTAATTATTATTACATAGCAAATACGAAATGAAAACAAGCAAGGAGCTCACACGATTCGTTTGTTGTAATTTGTTACTGTTAGTTATTCATGCAGTCCACAATTACAAAACGCTCTATCATTTTACAATAATCTGCTGTGGTTTGTGTCTGAAAAAGATATCTCTAACGTAGTGATCCAGTGCATGCATGTAGGTAATATTCTACAATAAGCTGTCGTGGTTTATGTCTGAACTACCTAAGAAATATATCTCAGAAGTATTTTACAATAAGCGGCTGCCGTGATGTGTGTTTAAACTGCCTGTACCATAGTAACATTAGATTTCCTTCGATTTTTAGCCGTATTTAAAGATGAATTTAACACTAGTACTGTTGTTCATTCTTACTGGGACGATCCTGGCTAAACAGTCGAGCAAGAGGAAACAAAGAATGGCAGTTATAAGACAAGCCTACTATTCAAATCTGTTTCGATTTACCTACGATTTATCAAGGAAAGTTTTGGAAACTAAAAATAAATTGGTAAGTTACCACACCTTTTCTCTTTAGACTTTAACAGGATAGAGTGAACTCATTAAAAAAGTGCTTCCAGTTTGCTTCAAGCAAACACTGCATGCCAGTTTTCTCCGGGTGCCACAGTTTTCTCATGTAATTTTACTGGACCTCTAGGGAGAATAGTTTAGAACTGACATAGAGCTATCCGGTATAAATAAAGTTAGTTTAGTTTATGTTTCCTCCTGTAATAACACTGGATCAATAAGAGATGATCCTTAGTGGACCTCTAGGAAGAACAGTTTAGAACTGATATAGAGCTATCCAGTGTAAAGAAAGTTAGTTTAGTTTATGTTTCCTCCTGTAATAACACTGGATCAATAAGAGATGATCCTTAGTGGATCTCTAGGAAGAACAGTTTAGAACTGATAGAACTATCCAGTATAAAGAAAGTTAGTTTAGTTTAGGTTTCCTCCTGTAATAACACTGGATCAATAAGAGATGATCCTTTCTGGACCTCTAGGAAGAGCAGTTTAGAACTGATATAGTTATCCAGTATAAAGAAAGTTAGTTTAGTTTAGGTTTCCTCCTAGTAACACTGGATCAATAAGAGATGACCCTTAGTGGACCTCTAGGAAGAACAGTTTAGAACTGATAGAGTTATCCAGTGTAAATAAAGAAAATTAGTTTAGTTTAGGTTTCCTCCTAGTAACACTGGATCAATAAGCAATGAAGCTTAAATCGACGTGATAAGCGGTGCCGACAAAGGGTCGCAAAGGAACAAATGGTTTCGCGCGAACAAATTCTCCTAGTGGGAAAATTGGCTTTACTGGACCTCCAGGTAGAACAGTATAGAACTAGCGCTATCCATTATAACCAAAAGTAGAAGTTCTAATTTTAGTTTCACCAATTAATCAATGATTCTGTATTCATATTTAGGAAGAGGAAATTCCTGAAAAATTAAAACTTCGCCACGACAAGTTCTACAGAAAAACAAGAACTGCCTTTCAGCCACAAGAACAAAACGTAAGCACTGATCGTATGGAACATTTTTAGACCGAAACATGTCAAGTTATGTGGACTGGATCTTTGTACCATTTTAGACATTTCTATGAAGAAAAAACTGCATCTGTCTGCTTTCAGATATCATCTCACATTCTTGACATTCTACTTTATAAAATTCAGCACAGAATGCTCTTGTATAAATGTACACTTGATTGTATGGGGTAAAAGTCCTCATTAATACTTTACCTAGTAGTTAGAATTTCTCAAAAAATGCCATGTCCGACTTTGTGTCTATTTTACAGAAATTTTTGTGTATGATAAAATTAATTTTTGTTTTCTTTCATTGGCTAGGAAATGGAGAGATTAAACAGGCAAGCTAATGAACTAAACTCCTTCGTACATCGTATTAAGTTAGCGAAGTCTGCAGAACAGAATATCAAAGGAGACAATCTTTCCTTGGAGTTAATGTCAATAGAAGTGAAACTGGGAATTCTTAGAATGCTGCTCCATCGCTTAGTAAGTATAGGACCTTTTTATATAATAGATCCTTTCAATGATTAAGATGCCATGTTGGAATCGCAGTGCATTGTAGAATCGCAATCAGTACTTGTGGTATCATGTATTCAACATGTGTGAAAATAATAAATTCTTTTCATTTTGCAAAGAAATAAAATTGAAAGATGAAATTCACCACCATGAGCTGCACCATACCAGAACCTAACAACTGAATGTTCATAACTTACGAAATATTTTGAACTTTTCTAGATGAGAAAATCACACATCAGAACTAAAACTAAAGTGCAGCCAACTATCTCGACTGTCAAGAACAACAAATTACAGACTCTGACAACGTTGAAAGATTTGCAAACCTCTCTGGCGTTCATGATATTGGAATTTGGAAAAGCGAAAAAACCTTTAAACCAAAAAGTTGCCTCAGGGAACTAAAGGACATCTTGTTTCGTTATTGTACACACGTAAAAATCACACAACTTGTCAACAAGATGTGTTCGCAACAGGCCTAAAACAATGCTGTTATTTTATCAAGTTGCTACAAGGTTGTCACTCACAACTTGTTGACAAATTGTTAAATTGCAGGACGATAACAAGTTGCTGGAACAACTTGTAACGAGTCTGTTGAGCTCAACAACCTTGTGGCAAGCCTGTCAACCAGTTGTAACAAGCAGTGCGAACACATCCTATTGACAAGTTGTTGAAACAGCATTGCTACAAGTCTGGTTTGTTACAAAATGTGTGTTTTTACGTGTGTAATACCATGTTTACATAACATGATTCAGTGATCATCCATTCTCTGCCTTCAGTATTTTGAAATGGGAATGTCAATAAAGTATGTAATGTAATGCAAAGAGCCTATTACTGATATTGAACAGAATATAATGAGTATAGTCTATATGTGTATATTTTCAATGCTTGTACACTATTTAATATTAATATTATTTATTTGTACATAAGTACTATTTATTATTTAAAGATAACGGGAGTCTAATATTTAATATAATTGGAAATCTATATGAATTGTAAATAATAGATGTAATTTATTCATTAATGTAAGTATGTAATTTAAACTTTCTAAATAAAGTATTGCCAAGCAATTGAATCTATTGATTACATATAATTCTAGATCAACGACAAAAACGTCTAATTACACCTGGGATGAGAGATGATGCGAGTTTCAACTCTCGCTCGCGTTTCACCCGCCAACTTTCATCAACTTTGGTCAAATTTTGAGCTGGCTTAAATTTTGATGAGAGTTTACGCTACGCGTTACCCACGCGTAAAAACGCACAAGTTGGTACATGTCCGCAAACAAGTCGTTACAAATCTGTTCACAAGCTGTCGACAAGTTGTGTTCGCACTGCTTGTTCCCAGTTGTTGTAACAAGTTTGGATCAAGCTGTTAACAACTTGTAACAAGCTTGATGGCATTATCAGACTTGTTACAAGGTTGTTCTAACAAATCTGATATACAGTCATGATATAACAAGAATGTTACAAGGTTGACGACACAAGGTTGTGACAATATTGTTATATCATGACTGCATCGGGACTTGTTGGAACAACCTTGCAATAAGTCTTATAATATCAACAAGGTTGTTACAATTGTTAACAGCTTGTTCCATACCAGTTGACAACTTGGGACAAGCAGTGCGAATACAACTTGTTGACGGCTTGCTGCAGACTTGCTACAAGATGTGTGATTTTTGCGTATGTACTTGTAAGTTCAATGGTGTACTCTCGTTTCACCAGGACATAACTCCCAAAAATAAAATGTTGAAAACTCGAGGAAATTATATAATTCAGAATCGCTGGGGGTTTCATTAACGACTCACAGGGCAGCAGATGGGGGCCAATTTGAATTTCAGAAATTTACCGATAGATATTTTGCCGAAGGAACATTTTAGCTAAGCTATAGCTGAAACGGCACTTTGCCGAAAGGACTTTTTGCCGAAATGATATTTAGCCGAAAAAAGATTTCGCTCAATAAAGATTTTGCCGAAAGAGATTCAGCCGAAATGATGTTCCCCCGAAGTGTCGTTTTGCGTTTTGACTCATCCGCAGGCATCTTAAAAGGGGTAAATAGAGATGACATAGTGGGTGGTATGTGTGATGCCCGAGGAAAGAGCTGCCGAAATTCGAGTTGCCGTCACGCACCTGACCTGATCGTCACCGCAAAGCTGGTGGAGGTACAGGACGGCAACAATGGCCTCAAAAGAGGTCTTACAGCTGAATCATACTGAAATTTACTGAAATGTATTTTAGCGACATACCATAACACTATAATCTTTGCATGAGTAATATTAGTTATATTACACGAAGCAATGCGTGGCATGAAGAACAGTGACATATCGGGAAAACAATGAAATTGGAACATTTTGATGATTGGATGTTGATGGCATTATTTGGCATGCTAAGTGTTACTGTTGTTACTAAGTGTTGTGTCAAGGGTCAGTTTGCGCCTTGGCGGAAATGATTAACATTCTCTCCGACTCTTTAGTTTTTCCCTCCGACTCTTTAGTTAGACCGGCCACCATCTGCTACCGGATAGTCCTGAGTGAACCTGGCAAATTAATATTCTAATTCGATTCATTGAAGAAATAAATTACAAAATAATAGAATTTCCCCTTAGATATCCCTCCAAATGTTCCAGGATATCCATCAAAGATCCCAAGATATCCCTCAAAGACCCACGATATCCATCAAAGATCCCAAGATATCCCATAAAGACCCCCCAAAATATCCATCAAAGATCCATAAAGTCCTCATCTTCTTCATGAATGGGTCCCAGTAACCTGCGTGACGCGGCCGCGTGTCTCTGCTGTTCAGCTAGTTCCCGCCACGATTTATTCCCTCGACTAAAATGACTTTTTATCATACTAAAACTTGTGTTATTATTTCGCGAGCTCATTTTCTCCTTCAAGTAATAATCTCGCTCATTCCACGGCTTCGTATAGATGAGTACAAACAGCAAAACAAGGCATAGAAAGAGAAGGGAAGCGACTGCCCATGCAGCGTTGTTTGCATTGATAGTTCGTTTTTCAGGTCTCAAGCCGTGTTTGATTTTTTGTAATAAATGTTTTTTAAGCGTTTTGGATGAACTCCCTTGGTTGTAGAGCGTGTTGTAATGTTCGTTCAGAATATCCATATCTTCCTCTTTCGTTTTCTAATTCAAACAATTACACAATTATTATTACTAATTCGAATAATTGGAGATAATTATCTTGCACTATTCTTAGAGCGGAAATCTGCAGTGAAAAATTTGTCCTGTAGCTGCGCTTGTAGTAACGCCTAATACACGCTACAGGAACTTTAATTCTTACTTTAATCCGCGTTAATTGAGACTTTTTTGCAGTGTAAATCAGGCAATAGAAAATGTGTATTTTTTTGTAGTAAACAGCCAAAACAGGGCCTGTGTAAAGACCTAACAGAGACTGGAAGACGTCTAAAACTTCCGTAAAGTTTTTAATTATTCGTTTCATTCCGTCCTCTTCGGATTGACGCTCTCCATAAAGTCTCAATTACGACCTAGCGCAAGCATCGAAATACCCAGACTTTGAAAGATCAATCTAAATTCAATATTTCGCTATAGCCAAAAGCACACTCGGATTATACAATTACTTTATGGTTTCCGTGTTCGGACGGCCTGATCCAAACGCGCGAGAATGTTGCTTGAGTTAAGAATAGCGGGCGAAACCACGAGCCGAAGGCGATTGATTTTGCGCGCTTTTCTCAACTCGAGCAACATTCCCAAGTATTTGGATCAGGCCATCCAAAAACGGAAACCATGAAGTAATTGTTTTATAAAATAACAACTTTCCGTGTTAAAATTTCACTTTAAAAACTTTCACTTTAAATTTCCGTGTTTGGATGGCCTGATCCAAACACGGGTTTCGACCAATCAGAGCACGCGTTACATACATGTTATTTTATAATTATATAGTTAATTGCATGTTATTTATAGATGCGGTACAATACTTCGGCATGTGTCAGCATTTTTTACGTTTGTCAGCTTTCGTGTCAGCTTTGTGTCAGCCAGCGAGCCCCAGACGAGTGTGAGGGAGGGGGTCTAATCATACGCCATCCAAGGCTAAAACTGTTGGTTGGTATGTTGAAACGGGTTATCTGTTGGCAACAGATCACTCGTTACAACATATTAACCATAAATTGGCCAAATCGTATCACTCAAGGTGGCTCGATATAGTTATCACAAAAACCCTGCTCAAGAATCGCGAACTCAAAACCGGGTGACCATTTTTACGCGCAGGTCGCGGAAACTGATTAACAAAATGAAAGAACTTCCAAAATGACCTGACGCGAGCAGTTGCTCGCGCCATATCACGCCATTGCGCGTGTTCTATAGCGTTTTTTATAATATAGCATTTGTAAATTCTGAACGCTGATTGGCTAAGAGCCGTGTTGATACAACTCAATGTCAACAAGGGAAATTTTCCGCCGCTTGTAAACACGGAAATTTTTCTTATCCTTCGGGCTTTTGACATTGCTATATTATAAAACAAATATAAAACATTTTTTCCGTATTGATATATAGTTATATCAACACTCGTGGAAGTTGGGAAAACTCGAAATTGTATGAAAACACTCCGCCCGAAGGGCGTCGTGTTTCCATACAATTTCTCGTTTTCCCAATTCCACTCGTGTTGATATAACTGTATATCAACACGGAAAATGTTTTATATTTGTTAAATATCAATTGCTGGCGTCATTACAATTTTCCATTTTAGAAAAACAATGCGCTATATATATCTCTTTATTTTGTCTGGTGACCTATGTTCAAATTTTGCATGCTGTATTGCACCGCTAAAAACTTTCATTTTACAAAAAAATGCCAATTTCGTACACGTATGTCGTCATAGCAACGAATTATCTGTTACAAAAACTAATATAATTTGAAAGTAGAGATATCAAAATATGTAAAAAACCCAATATCTGCTGAATAAATCCTAAAAATGCGTAGTTTGAACATCAATGTCAAAGTGTTCAACACCTGAATTTCTGAAAACTGTATCGAGCCACCTAAGTATCTGCAAATTTACATTTTAATTAATGTAATAAACATAATCTCCATGAATTATGATGACAATGTTTTCTCACCTTGACATGGGTTTCCTTACCAGGACACAGCTGACTATCAAGCGGGTCTGAGACCATCTTAGCTGGATGTAACAAATTAAAGTTATATCCACCATTGAGAAAAACGTGACTTGCAGGTGCTTTCATAGCATTATTCTTGATCCAATTCTCGCTTGCTGTCTCATTCACCTGCCAGTCAGCATAGAATGACGCCCATGCTACCATTGCGATTGGCTGCAACAGAAAGAAAATGAACAATAAATTTCAGATCATCCAAGTAATATAAGAGACACCAGTGTAGGAGCTGTGGATGAGAGGGATACTATGAACTAAAAAATACAAGCAGAACTTCACAGTTTCATGCATTCTTGTCCCCACTTGTTGAAAATTAGGCTCTGGGTTAGACGACTAAAAGAGATATCTGATTAGCCTGCCCTCAATTTTATGGGGGGCCTGATTTGCAGCGGGCAGGATTTTGGCGGGCTCACGCAGGCTAAGATCTGATAGGCTATTTCGCAGAAGTTGAGCAGTTTTCGCTAGGGAAAATTTTTCTATCAAAACATGTCAACACAAATACTTCGTTTATGTGCAATACTTCACTGTGAAAATAGACCTTTCCCCTTATGAGTGAAATTTTGATCTAGATATGCCTGGGCAACAGTTTCATCACGGCTTGAAAGAGCATCACAAAATTAGTAATATTCCGAAGTTTCGTTGCGAAATGTTGTAAAATGCGGATAATATAGCCTTGCGAAGTTTGCCGTTTTTCAGTAATTTTGCATTACAATCTAACATTTTGCATCAGTTTGATCATCTGATTATCAATTTCCCGTTTGTAATACCAAATGACTGAAAAACGGCAAACTTCGCAGGGCTATATTATCCGCATTTTACAACATTTCGCAACGAAACTTCGGAATATTACTAATTTCGTGATGCTCTTTCAAGCTGTGACGAAATTTTTGTTTAGAAACTACTGCAAGTTTTCTTGCACTTCCGGTTCCGTGTATCTCAGGGCCTAGGGAGGACGCGTGCGGCCGAGAAACCCTGGGCACGAGAAGTTATACTAGATTTATGATTTATCCTTTCTTACTTGCAGTTTAGAAGTTTTCACAACAAAATAGGTGCAATGATAGTTTGCAAGACTTTTCTGGGGTTTGCGGTGGTTGTTTTAAGGATCAGACAAGTGAATTACAAAGAGAATGGTAGAGTAAAGAGACCAACCTGGGTTATGTTGAGATGTTCGTATGGTGTAATGATGTGTTTCCACATACATTTCCTTGCAATGTTTCGTAACTTATCAACATTTTCCGTGCTTGTACATGGATGGTAAAGAAACACTACAGCTCCGTGCTGGAAATGAGAAAAAATCAGTTCGAAATTGATCAGTACCAATCTAGCATTATCCTTCACTCAGCCTTAAAATATCGGTCGGTCACGGACATTGTCCGACCCATTCGCGAAATTGTCCGACGTAGTAAGAAAACCACCAGACATTCTGTCCGACCTAAGTGAAACTGAGGCTTGTTGTTTGTCCGACCCGAGTGTATTGGTGTCCGACCGAATAGTAACCATGCCTGTCAAATGTTGGGATCCTAGGTAGCGGCACTACCTGCAAGTGCCTGACGCTAACTGCAATCCTTGGTCAGAAAGTTGCATGTTAAATTAAGTAAAGTAGAAAATTTCAATTTTTCCCAATACATTTTGCAATATTTAACAATTAATAAGAGTCGTACTCAAGACGTAAGTTCATCAAATGATGCCATCAAAAACTTAAAAGTTCCTGTTCTGTGGCCGAATTTTATTCATCAGCAGACAATCTTGTCGGCTTGATATGTGAAAATTTTCGATCAATTGAGTTTGAGCAAATTAGCGGACACTCAATTTTGACAATATGAAACATAACTCAAAAAAATTCGGTGCCTGGTCCCCTGTTGTAATTTGCCAGCTTCAAGCGAAGCGAGCAAGTTTGGACCACGCAGGGCTAACTGTAAAGTATTTTTGGCTACCTGCAAAAAACCCTAAATATACAGGCATGATGGTAACTTTGTCCAACGTAAATCAAAATGTTGCCGGCGGCGAGCAAAATGATGAAGTGGAAAACGAACTTAAGTGTCGACATCTTACTGTTGTTATTGGCATGCAAGTTAATTTTGGCTTGGAAATAAGTATGAATGACACAAATTATTTAATATCTTCACAACATTTACCGTTCAGAGTTAATACATTATGCTGATATTTGTGTCATTCAGACTTATTTCCGAGCCAAACTGAACTGAAGATCATCGGACATCATCATACATATGTCCGATAAGTCATCGGACATTTTGTCAGATGGCCCTGTAAAAGATATTCTAAGGCCTAGCTGCTTCACTGGCTAGGAATATGGCAGCTATTACACTCACATCGAAGACCATCAAAGAAGCCAACAAGGAGTTACACCTCTGTATCTATGGTCTGTGGTAGATAGTTAAAGAGCCTCACCTGAAGTAACAATATCCACTGAGATATTGGTAAATAACTGTAGTCACCATACTTTGGTATCCCTGTAAGAGCTTTCTTATTTCTAAACAATCAAATATAACATACTGTATATATTCTGTGCAAACAAACAAACAAACAAACAAACAAACAAACAAACAAAACAAAACAAACACTTACTCATTTGTTTCAAGTTGTTTGGGTCTATTGCAATGCAGAGGATTTAAGTGGCAGACGTAAGGCTAAAATAATGAGATATATATAGTTATTCAGGTTTCAGAATTGTACATAATGAATAAATGAAGGGTACATTATTAGAGGTGTGCAAATCCGATCCTAATCCGATCAGATTCTTTGGATTTCGGAACAAAAATAAACATACTAAAAATATTGTTTCGTAGTCGGATCGGACTTCGATATTCGAAATAAAATGAATTAATTACATGTGTAAAAACACTCAGGTTGATGCAATACTGATGAAAACAGGATTGAACAATGTTTTGCTGCCCACATTGTTCATAGCTGTCAACAATATTGAACAACATTGTTACACCCGATTCAGGCTCAACAATATTGTTCAATCGTGTTGACAGCTATGAACAATGTGGGCAGCAAAACATTGTTCAGTCCTGTTGAGTGACACACTCAGCGTTTTTTGCCACGACAATGCGGTTGTGACTGCATTATTTGTTTGATACTTCAATTTGGACGTCACTTTGTCAGCTTCTTCACATGTATTTCTTGCTTTTATATTTATTTGGTTAAATATTTCCAATTGAATGAGAAATTTATTTTATTAAAGGATTCTTCGGATCAGAATTCTTTATCAAAACTCGGATCGGATTAGACAATAGGCAATTCCAGCTTTTAGTTTATGCGTGCAGGGGGCGATGGGAAGTAAGGTATCATGTTGCTGACTATGCTGAAAAAATAAAAATAGTGCCTGTGTAAACACGGAGTGATAGCTTATACTTGTAAATATTGAAATATTTCGGTTGTTTCGGCAGTTTTTATTGAAATTTTTCAGCATAATCAGGAATATATGATACCTTACTTCCCATCACTCCCTGCGAGCATAAGTTAAAAGCTGGAATTGCCTATTTCAGATTGGATTTTAAACTATATAAATGCCAATTGTCGGATTATAAACATCCAATCACATCCGATGCACATATTGAAATTTTTGGGCATCTTGCTTGATAGAAATAACAGTAGAAGGGGTTTCGTTGATGAAAACATTGAGTGGAAAATCATATACAACACGCCCTCTGCAAGAATCAAACCTTTATTCCTGCCAGAGGGACGCAGGTTCCTTAGTTGCTTATAGGTCATTAGGTCTGCAATTTTATATAATCTTCCACTTGAAAATGCCATCTCCAAAAACCCTTTGATGAATGAATAAATGAAAGCAATTATGAGTTTAGTCCAGCAAGTGACAATTATAAAAAGCTTACATCATAATCAGTATAGTAAACATACACACTTGTGTTGGTTTGAGGTTCCTAACAGAAAAAGACAAAACATGAAATAAACCCGTATGAAAAATATAGCATGCTTAGCATATTCAACTATTTGAAATAATTTCAAATCTGAAGCCCTGTTAGGGAGCTGGTATTCTAATAGGCAATATTGCATTGACATCAGGGCGTTAGCCAGAAGTAAAAAAATCTGCGTTTACCTGAAATTGGGAAATTTATTTTAGCCTGAAGCCGGGCATTTCTTTGTGGGTCTGGGGCATGCGGTTGCCCCCTCTCAATTTTTAAAATTTTTGTGTCTTTGAAATGGCATTTCCCGCATTTTGGGAGTAATTTTGAGCAAATGTAGTTATAAAAATGTTTTTAATGGCGAATTAACAACTTACATTGAATTTCTATAACTATTTTTTGGCTGACCCAAATTGGGAAATTGCGACCTCAAGGTAATTGGGAAAACCGTGTTTAACATGGAATTTTTGACTGTAGCTAACACCCTGGACATAGTGACATATAGAAAATAAAATAGGAATATTTGACTCAAATGCCCCATAATGGCTCTTTTCCACTAAATTAAACTAAACTGTTGAGCACTGTGATTGGATGCACGAAAGTGCTCGTAGTGAGCTTGTGATTTCATAGAAGCGCTAAATGGAAAGGAGGCTAATAAATTGTGACAGCAACATGAAAAGGCCAAAAATAATAAAATTCTAGACGTTATGTGGCAACATTTGCAAGCTGTGATATTACTTGTTTGAAAAGATGAGTGACATGCATACCCCACAATATGAGGACCCCAAAATGAAGTTTTTACCTTTTGACTTTTCAAATGTATGTCACTACAGTTCCATGTTTTATTGATGTATCTAGTTGGGTAAGATGATACCTGCAATGTTCAATGGAAATTGTCAAATTTCTATTGCAGGACTGCAAATTACTGTTGGACATCGGACAATGTCCGACTAAATTTGGCAAATGTCCGAGCAAAAGTAGTTTTGATCGGACATTGATCTAATCACAAAAAAAAATTGTCACATTATACATTTTTTGCTGTGACAAAATCCGATGCAAATTCACTCAATTCGCATTTTGCAATAAAATTTACGAGGCATTCTAGCATTTTATTTAACGTTGCACCGGAATGGCTATACATACTTGTCTCTTGACTTATATATATCTTGTGATGTATATATGTTCGACCAAATTTAGTGGTGTTGGTTTTTGTCCGACCAAATTCAAGTTATGTCCGACCAAAATTAAAAGTGATCGGACAAATGTCCTGTCAAGTCAAATATCTATTTGCAGCCCTGTATTGTACGTTTAAAAATGTTTAAGTTTATGTGAAATGCCACACATACAACACGTGCACCACTTCATATTTACAGACCCGCCAACCTTAGCGACTGATATCTGGGGAGAAATGTTATTTAAACACTTCAAAGCCCTTTTCATTAGCTCAGCAGTCAGATTAGTGTCTCGTTCAAACTCCTAGCTACACTCACAGTGCAAGAAGCCCCTTGACTAATGTTAAATTGGCCACTATCTTGGACTGAAAATACAACATGAAGACATGTTTTAACAAATAAATACTTCATTTTTGACTTTCAAAACATTATAGAATGTAAATTGAAGTCATTAAAATAAATGGATGAAAATTAAGAAACACAGTCGCATGTATCGACAAGAAATCGGGATAATTGCCAGTTGTCAACATGGGCGTACCGGAATATATCTAATAGGAATTTTTCGGAATCACTCCCCCCCCCACTTGTTGACAACAATTTTGGAAAGTTTCTCCAGAAAATTTTTTTGACAACTCGGGCACAATCCGAAAAAGTCGGGCAAATTTCTTTCCGCCTCCCTAAATTTTTCCTTCCCGTATGCCCATGGTTGTCAATACCAGGAGAAATTTTTCACTACCGGGAGACCGGGAGATCACAGGTCTATAGTCGGGAGAGTTGGCAGGTCTGTATTTGTATATATAAACGTTTTGTTTGTTTGTTTTAATTGTCTGTTTGTTTGCTTATTAGTTTAGTCCTTTAATTCTAATTTTAACACATTAACCCATTTAGTTGCATTGCGCCCTGATGCGCCCTACTTTATTATTTTACTCTGTCTAACGCCAGATGATTTTACTCGTCAAGGGGAGAGCGCTGGCGCTTAATGGGTTAAAGTTGCAACATTCCATTAGCATGCTATACTTTCTTATTTTACTCTGTCTAATTGGAGACAACACTCACAGGGAAAGTGCTGCCACTGGGTTAAAATAGAATTGTAAATGGGTCATTCCAGAAAAGATCCACACTCCCCCCATGGAGGAAATTTCTGCCGACCAGAGGGGGAGGGAAGATAATAGTTTCTGATAATAGTAAGCGTATCTTGGACATCCAAAGTGGGTTCTCTGGAATGACTCAATATGCAAAAAGTATAGTGTGTGGGCGTAGACGTGATAAAATTTTTTCATGTGTTCACACACTTCAATGACATCTGTAGTATTGCTCGATTGAAGCATACAAAAACAACATGTGCTATAATCACTGTGTCAACATTCCTTTCAAATAAAATTTGCATTTTCAAGGCGTATGTACTCAGTGATTACTTGAGCAAAGTAAAATGTACAATTTCCCAATTTTATTTTCTGGTCTTTAATATTAATGGGGGGCTTGTATGTGTGTACATGCAATGATGCAAGCTGGAGCCAGCTGCCTAGTGGGGAGCAAATTATACATTTATACTCTCAATTTTTTAAAGTAGTTTTTCTGCTTTCATAGATGCCTCTTGTAGTACACTATCATTTAAACGACATTTCTACATTCGCTAAAGTAGTCTTTGCTATCATTATGAAACCCCAAACCTCGCCCCAAACCACAAACAAACAGAAGTATCAAGTTCATTGTAAACATGAACTTTCCAAAACACAAATCGACTTACAGCACGCACAATTTTCACTAAAAATCCACTTTACACAATATTACCACAACAGTACTAAAGACAACTAGCTTTTTTCCTTAAATAAACACAAGAACAACGTAATTTTACCGTCGGGGGAGTTGTGTGTTGTATTTTTCGTGTTGTACTTTTCAGCTGCGTAGCTTGAGACGTGGATTTCGTCGGCGAAAACCGCTCAAAATTTGAAGCATTTATAGCGATTCCTGTGATTAAACACCGTGTCAGAAGAACAACTGAGACAGAAACGATAGCCTTGACAAGAAAATGTTTCCCCATTAGTGAATTTCTTGAAAAAAATTGACCACAACATAATTTTGGCAACCCATTTTCTGCATATATACCTCCACGTTACACATCGTGGACGACACGAATGCCCATTTTAAATCACGCGCGAAATTTGATTAAAATTTCCACAGTTTTTGAACAAAAATTTGGACAAATTGTACTTTTTCAGTTTTTCTGACCCATGTTTTAACAAATAAAGCATTTTTGCATTTTAGCAAGCATTTTTATGTATTTTCTCCGGGTTTGTGAGCGGTTTCTATTATTGTTTTCAATATTTTTGCCTAATTGAACCAGACAAATGTCAGACATCCCGCGCGACGTCCACGAACCTAAATTTTTAAAATAAATCTAAATAATTTTTGACAAAATGTTGGTTGTTTTTAAGAAATATTTTCCAATAAAAGACTTTAATTTTTCATACTTACAGAGGACATGTAATCATCGTTTGAAAAGTAGCAAATATAAGAGCTCATTTAACTTTCCCTGGATACAGAATTTGCATGGTATGAATATTGACATATTGTTGGTATATATAATATTGTTGACATAAAACTAGTATGGTACATAAAACTAGGTGTGTTTTATTAAGTAGTACAGTGCAGAATATGGTCAGGTGGTCGAATCTAAAGGGAAAGACAGTTCTCAGAATGATTAAATTGTTCACTGTATGTACTGATCTTGTGTTAGGAGGCAACGTTAGGTTATGCAATGTGCAGATCCATAAACACCACTGAAAACTGAAACCTACCTATACCAATACATCAAAATATCAGTGAAAATTTCAATGGTGTAGATATGAACTAGGCATTAGCACCTTTGTCTTCTCCTTGTATAGTAAGGTGTTATATGCATGGTAATTATAGATGACAAGAAATCTGCACCATTTCTCCACAAAGTTCTGGGATTTTTTATTATGAAGAAAATTCTTAATAATGTCAAGTAAGTCAAACAATTCAGTCAGTTGGACCATCGGTTGGCTGGGCCAAATGACCGGTTGGTCTGTCAGGCCATTGGTTGGTCGGTCAATCAGTTAGACTATTAGTTGGCCAGTCAGGCCATCAGTCAGTTGGTCAGATCATTAATCAACCAGTTGGTCAGACCATCAATCAATCAGACTGTTGGTTGGTCAGACCATCAACCAATCAGTTGGTTTGTTGGTCAGACCATCAATCATTCAGTCGGTTGGTTGATCAGACCATCAATCAATCAATCAGTCGGTTGATCAGACCATCAATCAATCAGGTGGTTTGTTGTTCAGACCATCAATCATTCAGTCGGTTGGTTGATCAGACCATCAATCAGTCGGTTGATCAGACCATCAATCAATCAGTTGATTCGTTGTTCAGACCATCAATCATTCAGTCGGTTGGTTGATCAGACCATCAATCAGTCAGTTGGTCAGACCATCAATCAATCAATCAGTCGGTTGGTCAGACCATCAATCAGTCGGTTGGTCAGACCATCAATCAATCAGTCAGTTGGTTGGTCAGACCATCAATCAATCAGTCAGTTGGTTGGTCAGACCATCAATCAGTTGGTTAGTTTAGTTTTCCTCCTATTGTAATACTGGATCAGTAAGAGATGGTCCTTACACGACCTCTAGGGAGTAGTTTAGAACTGGTAGAGCTATCCAGTATAAATAAAGTCAGTTTAGTTTAGGTTTCCTCCTGTAAGAACACTGGATGAATAAGAGATTATCTAAGATTATCCATGGTCCAATCAATGAAATATCTCAAATTTATTTAACAGCACACCATTTAATAAACAAGAATTTTTGGAAGGTACACAGGTATTGGAATAAAAAACTCAATATTAAATTATATTCACAGCACTGAGATCATCTCGATCACTATCCTGTTCCTTTCAGCTTGCTATCGGTGCAGTTTCAAATGCCATTTCAACTCAAGATACAACTAAACTACAAGAAATGATGGGTAAAGATTTCAATCTCACTTTTCTTTGCGGGTTTTTTGTCATATATTTGTAGCATTATGAAAACTTTATAAATTTTTCAGGTGTTCAACTAAGCCAGTGTTTCAAAAACGCTTTCCTATCCTTGTCAGAAAAACAACATAAGATTAACCTAGTAAGTAATTCTGGTTATTTAAAGAGGCAGTTTTTTTTCCTTCAGTTGTGATCATTGATACATTTTCATTTCAGGATCTAGAAAAAACAAGCATAATTAACATCACAGGTATAAACATGAAATGATACTACTTGAGGACTTACTTCATTATTAATTACATAATTTTCCATTCTATGTCTAATTGTCTATGACTATGTAGGTGTAAAATCAACATTTGGGAAAGCAGATCCTTCAGACAAACATATTCTGAAAGTTTGTGGTCAAGAAATCGTTGGAAGTAAAAGAAAACTTCAAACAGCCATAGAAGGTCGCGTCTATTTTTCTTTAAAAGGCTTTATCACAATGCCGGTTCCCAAGTAAGCCTTTCGGTTACGTGGAACCTCTGTGATAGCTCTCCCTAACTTTCCTTTATTTTACTTCAGTCTACACTGTTGTATAGTTTATACAACGTAGTTTTTATTATATTACTACACGAGTGGCATTCAATTATTCTTTAGGGATGGGATAAATCCCTATCTTTAGGGATGGGATCCTGTTTCGTTACAAATGCCAATGTTCTCTCTACTTGTAGAGAGTGAATCTCCTTGGAATGACTCAAAAGATATCGGAGCAGAAGCTGCAAAACTTGGAGTAACGTTTCAAATTGATGTTAAATTTAAAACTGAAGAAAGGTAACGACGTCACTTTCTCTATCAGTTCTGCATTCAGTGTTCCCCTTCTGGATCAATAAGGAATGCAGGGTGTGATAATTCAAATTTTTTATTCGTACCTGACTGGTACCGTGTTACGCCAATGATTATTGCCGCGTACTTGCGCTAGTGCAAAATCAATACTCAATGTGTACTGGGTCATTAAAATAAAGTACAGGTTTCTGAAAAGTATTCAGACTACGAGTTAGAACAAGAAGCACAATGGACCAATCCCACATTAACCAAAATTTTTATCTCAACAAGTCTAGACAAAATTCCATCACAACATGAAAGAGCATCACAAAGTTAGTAATATTCCAAAGTTTCGTTGCGAAATGTTGTAAAATGCGGATAATATAGCCTTGCGAAATTTGCAATTTTCACTGCTTTGTATTACGAACGGAAATGGTAACCATTTCTCGTTTGTAATACAAAATGACTGAAAATTTCAAATTTCGTAGGGCTATATTATCCGCATTTTACAACATTTCGCAACGAAACTTCGTAATATTACTAATTTTGTGATGCTCTTTCAAGCTGTGGTGAAATTTTTGTCTAGACTTGTCTAGATCAAAATTTTGTTCATTGGGGAATAGGTCCATTGGCATTGCATATATACAAACAATCGACTCGGACATTTCTTATAGTCCCATCAGTCCAATCATGTTTCATGCTATCCATGACATCTCAGAAATATGATATACCAACGGTATTGAATACCTTGGGACCTTCCCACGTGGGTGAAGACAAAGAAGTACCAGACCGTAATATTGCTGGACCTTTATTTACACTGGATATAGCTATCCAGTGTAAATAAAGTTTGTGTAGGTTTCCTCTTGTAGTAACACTGGATCAATTTCTGTCAAGAGGTGACTCTTATTGGACCTCTAGGGAGAACAGTTTACAACTGATATAGCTATCCAGTGTAAATAAAGTTTGTGTAGGTTTCCTCCTGTAGTAACACTGGATCAATTTCTGTCAAGAGGTGACTCAGGGAGAACAGTTTACAACTGATAGAGCTATCCAGTATAAATAAAGTTTGTGTAGGTTTCCTCCTGTAGTAACACTGGATCAATTTCTGTCAAGAGGTGACTCTTATTGGACCTCTACGGAGAACAGTTTACAACTGTATAAATAAAGTTAGGTTAGGCTTCCTCCTGTAGTAACATTGGATCAATGACCCTTACTGGACTCTTACTACTTTTAATCAAGTAAGCATTGACACTTATTTTAAAATTTGTTAGGTTTTCCATCTGTTCAGATGACACAAACGAAGTACTGGCTGGTTCTAACGAATTTCAACATTGTTACCATACGTGGAAGTTTGAAAGTTACGTTGATTGGATAACTTGGGATAAATCAAGCAATGAGAGTTATCCTATTTCATGGCAAGTATCTGATATGGACAGATTTCTTGAAACTAACTTTCCAGACGAGAATTCATTCGATACCATTATATAAATAATCAAATAATTATAAATACATAGTCCACCCTATATGGACCTATTACCTAATGAACAAAATTTTGATCGAGACCAGTCTACACAAAAATTTCATCACAGCTTGAAAGAGCATCACAAAATTAGTAATATTCCGAAGTTTCGTTGCGAAATGTTGTAAAATACGGATATTATATAATAGCCCTGCGAAGTTTGCCGTTTTTCAGTCATTTTGTATTACACACGGGAAATTGATACTTTTTTTCAGAAAGCGGTATCAATTTCCCGTGCGTAATACAAAATGACTGAAAAACGGCAAACTTCGCAGGACTATATTATCCGCATTTTACAACATTTCGCAACGAAACTTCGGAATATTACTAATTTTGTGATGCTCTTTCAAGCTGTGATGAAATTTTTTACTAGACTTGTCTAGATCCATTGTAATAGGTCCATTGGTGACTAGCTCGGTAGCTCCTGTAAGCGTTACACGGCAGCAGATGGTGTTCTGAAATGTTCACACTTCTGGGAACAAGAAAATTAAACTACAGTACATTAAACAGACACAAGACTACAACAAAAATTGAAAAGAATAAACATTGTTTTCTCAACTCTGATAATTGCAGGTTGACCATCATCTGCCGCACGATAGTGCTTAGTGAAACTTAACCAACCCGATTACAGCTATTAATTATGAAACAACTATATTAAACTGAAATATTTACATCGAACTCTGATGTCCATAATATATACGAAATAATTTTTTGATATTTTAACAATATATTCCACTACGCCAAACTTGACGCAAATTATAATACCACACGACTTCTACATACTGTACGAAGAAAGGATCAACTCCTCAGATTACACTTGTTGGGTTATTTTCTGGTGATCTAAAACATAAGAAACTTAGCTTAAAATGATACTGGGTAGCTCTAACAGTTCTCCCTAGAGGTCCAGATTTCCTCCGGTGTTAGTACGGGAGAAAACCTAAACTAACTTTATTTTCTCCCTAGAGGTCCAGTAAGGATAGTCTTTTATTGATCCAGTGTTACTACAGAAGGAAACCTAAACTAAACTGACTTTATTTGTACTGGATAGCTCTATCAGTTCTAAACTGTTCTCCCTAGAGGTCTAGTAAGGATCATCTCTTATTGATCCAGTGTTACTACAGGAGGAAACCTAAACTTACTAAACTGACTTTACTTATACTGGATAGCTCTATCAGTTCTAAACGATTCTCCCTAGAGGTCCAGTAAGGATTCATCCCTTACTGATCCCAGTGTTACTACAGGAGGAAACCTAAACTAAACTGACTTTATTTATACTGGATAGTTCTATCAGTTCTAAACTGTTCACCTAGAGGTCTAGTAATGACCATCTCTTATTGATCCAGTGTTACTACAGAAGGAAACCTAAACTAAACTAACTTTATTTATACTGGATAGCTCTATCAGTTCTAAACTATTCTCCCTAGAGGTCCAGTAAGAATCATCTCTTATTGATCCAGTGTTACTACAGAAGGAAACCTAAACTAAACTGACTTTATTTATACTGGATAGTTCTATCAGTTCTAAACTGTTCACCGAGGTATAGGGTGGTGGTTTCAATGACTTACTCTTCCTCTGGCTGACCATTCTCATCAGAAGCACGTTGAGACGGCTCTAGTAAGAAAGTAAAGAAAATCGGTTACGTTGGATTATCGGTTGTTTAAACACGACGATCAACCTAGACCTAGAGCCTTCTATTTATATTTCAATCCAGGCAATCATCCCGCCTTGTGACGTCATTGAAGTTGATTGACCCGCAAAGGAAGTGCCGCCTGCCGAGGTCCTAGGTGTAGGCTGTATGATCATAGAGTACCTGGGTTATTGAGAGGATGGTTTTCAACTTGTATTCTCATGGCGGTCAGTTGCTGTAAGAACTCGCGCAGGGGAGGTGATCTCCGTGCTGGGAAGGCAGATGTTGTGGAGGTACTTGATGCTTGTCCTGTCGCTGGAATATGACCTGATGGTCTTGTAGTGTTCTCATCATCATCATCACCCTCGCTATCGCTTGAGTCTGGAACTCGGAGAGGTTTAGCGTACTTTATCTTACGACGACCATCTGGAAAGAATCACATTCATGTTCAAACGATCCTTTCAACTGCGGTTAGCTTTTTACTGAATGGGCCTATTACCTAATGAACAAAATTTTGATCTAGACAAAAATTTCATCACAGCTTGAAAGAGCATCACAAAATTAGTAATATTCCGAAGTTTCGTTGCGAAATGTTGTAAAATGCGGATAATATAGCACTGTGAAGTTTGCTGTTTTTCAGTCATTTTGTATTCCGCACTGGAAATTGATACCTTTTTTCAGAAAGCGGTATCAATTTCCCGTGCGTAATACAAAATGACTGAAAAACGGCAAACTTCGCAAGGCTATTTTATCCGCATTTTACAACATTTTACAACGAAACTTTGGAATATTACTAATTTTGTGATGCTCTTTCAAGCGGTGATGAAATTTTTGTCTAGACTTGTCTAGATCAAAATTTTGTTCATTAGGTAATAGGTCCATTCAAGGTATTGACTTATGTTGGATCTGGGTCCATCGCTCCTTCTCCCCTCGTCAAAAACCAACCTGGAACCTTAGTTGCATGTGCTCCGTGATGGGCCGTATGATGGCAGCTATAGAGGTCAGGGTGGAAAAACTAGGCGAGCACGCGAGCACTGCTCGCAGGAAATGTTAAACAGCTGCAGGAAATTCGTTCGAATGAAGATTTGCTACTGAAAATTTGAAGGAAACCTTAACACCCATGTCCCACTATGGGCGCAACAACATATGGTTGACAGACATTATTCCTTGAATTTAAAACCATGGTCAGCTAGAACACTATATGTTTATGCACAGATTTAGCACAAAAATACTCCGTTGATCTGCAGGAAATTATTATTATTATTATTTAATCTCTTCTTTAAAAACAACGGTAGCCCTTCAGCATAGATAAGAGCTGTTTTCCAAGGGGCCGTTGAAAATGTTTGTCTTCAGGTTGTGCTCCCTGGAAGAAATTATTTCCTGCTCTGCTAGAGGTGTTTGAGTGAGCTGAGTAATTCAGCTCTCTCAGCTGACAGGAACAATGTAATAGCATGTATTTAAACTATACCCTTACTGGACTTATTTGGAGTATTACCGAGACAAACATATTTGAAGTGCCTATATCACTTGTGGGACTTTTATGGATTTGAAAAAAGATTAAAATGTTTGTCAATAAGTTCTAAAACCTTTTTTGATTTAGTGCAATAGTTTTGAGGATATAAGCCTTTAAACAACGGACTGTTCCTGGGTCCCGGGGTCTAACCACGGCTATTGAATTGGTATTAGAATGTTAGGGTTTGTAATCCAAGTGAGTATATATACATTTTAAGACCTGACCAGGAACGACTGCGAAAAATGCAGCACAAGGTCCTCTGGTAGGAATTGAACCTACGGCCCTGCGATTCCGGTGCAGCGCTCTAACCAACTGAGCTACAGAGGCCAGCTGTTGAGCTGTAACCGTAAGTTCATGTATATATAGGTAATCGGGTGTGCGGGTTGTGATAAGGTGGACTTGAATGTGCATTGTGCATAGGAGCCGGTAGTTTAGAGGCCTGTATCTTCGAAATTATTGCACTAAATCAAAAACGTTTTTGAACTTATTAACTTTTTACGTTCTTTTCAAATTCATAAAGGTCCCACAAGTGATATAGGCACTTTAAGCAACAAACCCCTGAAACCCAGCTATAACCAACCTCTATCCTCTCCAAACGCCTTGGCATAATCTCTATCGAGCGTAATGCAGCGAGGACCTAATGCCTTGTTACTACATCTCAGAGCAGAGTTCCTGGTCGGGCATATACAGCCTTCTTTATCGTTCAGTCTGTTTTTTAATGAATAATTCTGGGTTCTCTTCATTTCTTCCAGAACTCTCGACGTCCATTGTAAACCTGAAGGAAAATAATTGCTCAATATTAATATTAAAATTCGACACAAAATAATACTGACCCTAACTTTAACTATACCACTCACTCTTATTCTAATCCAAACTTAAACATTAATACAAATCCGTCAAATTTTAACCAGAAATGGACGAACGTCAATAGATAGTCCATGCTATCGTTCGTGTAAACAGACGAGTCGTCCGTCAAGATGGTCTGCCTACTTTGGCTATAGCAACTCAGATCAACTTGTGTGCGTAGTTCAACGTGACGGAATCAGGAATATATCAGAATAATTGCCAGAATGGATCGCGTTAGTATGTGTTTTGATAGTTTGTTTTGTGTTAAGAATATAGAGGTGTACCTTCGCGTTCAAGACTATCTCTGTCCTCTTCAGTGCCTCTTGCTTCATCATCTTGATCAATTGAGGAGCTGGGGAAAAACAGTTACTTATAAAAATAGATATGAATAAAAATTAGAGATATTTTTCATTCCTAAAGTGCGGACCAAACCAGGAAACATTGTTTCTTAGCCATGTTTCCCGAAGATGACCAAAGCAGGAAACATAGTTTCTTAGCCATGTTTCCCGAAGATGACCAAAGCAGGAAGCATAGTTTCTTAGCCATGTTTCCAGAAGATGACTAAAGCAGGAAACATAGTTTCTTAGCCATGTTTCCCGAAGATGACCAAAGCAGGAAGCATAGTTTCTTAGCCATGTTTCCCGAAGATGACCAAAGCAGGAAGCATAGTTTCTTAGCCATGTTTCCAGAAGATGACTAAAGCAGGAAACATAGTTTCTTAGCCATGTTTCCCGAAGATGACCAAAGCAGGAAGCATAGTTTCTTAGCCATGTTTCCAGAAGATGACTAAAGCAGGAAACATAGTTTCTTAGCCATGTTTCCCGAAGATGACCAAAGCAGGAAGCATAGTTTCTTAGCCATGTTTCCCGAAGATGACCAAAGCAGGAAGCATAGTTTCTTAGCCATGTTTCCCGAAGATGACTAAAGCAGGAAACATTGTTTCTTAGCCATGTTTCCCGAAGATGACCAAAGCAGGAAACATAGTTTCTTAGCCATGTTTCCCGAAGATGACCAAAGCAGGAAGCATAGTTTCTTAGCCATGTTTCCAGAAGATGCATGACTAAAGCAGGAAACATAGTTTCTTAGCCATGTTTCCCGAAGATGACCAAAGCAGGAAGCATTGTTTCTTAGCCATGTTTCCAGAAGATGACTAAAGCAGGAAACATAGTTTCTTAGCCATGTTTCCCGAAGATGACCAAAGCAGGAAGCATTGTTTCTTAGCCATGTTTCCAGAAGATGACCAAAGCAGGAAACATAGTTTCTTAGCCATGTTTCCAGAAGATGACCAAAGCAGGAAGCATAGTTTCTTAGCCATGTTTCCAGAAGATGACTAAAGCAGGAAACATAGTTTCTTAGCCATGTTTCCCAAAGATGACCAAAGCAGGAAGCATTGTTTCTTAGCCATGTTTCCAGAAGATGACCAAAGCAGGAAACATAGTTTCTTAGCCATGTTTCCAGAAGATGACTAAAGCAGGAAACATTGTTTCTTAGCCATGTTTCCCAAAGATGACTAAAGTAGGAAACATTGTTTCTTAGCCATGTTTCCCAAAGATGACTAAAGTAGGAAACATTTTTTCTTAGCCATGTTTCCCAAAGATGACTAAAGTAGGAATAAAGGCTGATTTACCCTACACAACACTTGCCTAAAACTGTCGAATGCAACATGCTTACAACTTGAGTCGTATTGTGTAAATCAAGCACACAACTCATCTAACCACAACGTAGGCGAGTTGCATGTGTGCTTGATTTACAAAATACAACTGAAGTTGTGAGCAGTTTGCATGGCATGCCTGTATATTTAGTTTTTTTGCAGGTAGCCAAAAAGAATTTACAGTTAGCCCTGCGTGATCCAAA